CAAGGTTCACCATCCAGCCAAAGATTAGACAGCCCCATAAAACAAAATGAGACTAATGGAGCACAACAGTCCAGGGACAATGACTAGAAGGCAGGAGGGGACAGGAAAGCTGGTAATAGGGAACCCAAGGTTGAGAAGAGACAGTGTTGACATGTTGTGGGGTTGTTAACCATAGTCATAAAACAATATGTATACTAACTGTTTAATGAGAAACTATTTGTTCTGTAAACCTCCATCTGAAGTACAATAAAAAAAGAAAAAAAGTAGCGATGACGATGATGATTCTTTAACCCAGATAAAACTCAGCAACTGTATGGTCCAGTCCTCCCTCTCCCTTTGACAGTAATAATAAAAATGTTCATAAAGCAGTATATGCAAGGCTTTGTGCTAAATGCTTTTTGCTCATTTTTTCCACTTCATCCTAACAGCAACCTTATGAGGTCTATGTTTATACTAGCCCCATTTTATAGATGGGAAAACTGAAGCACAGAAAGGGGAAGTAATTCTCCACAGTCACCTTGCTGGTTAGTGGCTGGGAGAGGATGTGAGCAGAGATGGTCTGACAGAGATGGCCGCGAGTGTAGGTTACCCGAGCTCTCTTGCCCCTTGTGAAGGTGTGGAAGTGGGGGAGGCGTACACGCTTTTCCCTATGATCCCGTTGTCAAGATTTTTGTGAGTCTTGGAACCCCAGTGCTCCAAGGCACCTCCGTCTGACTGAAGCTCCAAGCTGGGCTGGGTGCTGGGGAGTGTGGCCAGGGCAGGGCCCACTGACCACTGTGTCCCCGCAGCGGCTGTGGAGGCGTGTGTCCTGCACGGGCTGCGGCGGCGGGCAGCTGGCTTCCTGCGCAGCAACAAGATCGCAGCTCTCTTCATGAAGGTGGGGAAGAGCTTCCCGCCGGCCGAGGAGCTCAGCCGCAAGGTTCAGGACCTGGAGCAGCTGATCGAGAGCGCGTGAGTTCAGGGCTGGGGGTGGGACACAGGGTGCAGGCAGGGACGTTCCCCCAGAGGACAGTCACCCTCCTCCCTGGCTGTGCAAGGCCCTGGCTGCAGCTCAGCATCCTTCTCAGCACTTTCCCCATTAAGGCTTTACTGGCCTTCCTGCTCCTCAAACCTGCCAGACTCTTTCCAACCTCAGGGCCTTTGCACATGCTGTTCCCACCACCTGGCTCATCCTTTCCCCTGATCTTCCATGGCAGGCACCTGGTGATCATTCAGGCCTTCCCCCAGCTAAGTAAATTACAACCCCCTTATTCTCCTTCATATCACCCTGTTTATTTTCTTCCCAATTGTTACCGCCATCTGTAATTATGTATTCATCCATTTGTTTGTTTACTGTTTCCTTGATCGTTGTCATTTCCCCCCTTGATGCTGAACTCCATGACGGTAGGGACTACATCTGTGTTAGTCCCCATTATGTCCCCAGAGTCTGGGGCAGTGCCTACCATCTGGTAAATGCCCAAGAAACAATTGTTGAACGAACAGTTGCTCACTGTGACCAAAGTCAGATAGAACCGATGTGATCTCCGTCCACGTGGACCAGATGCTGGGGCCTTGGGGTAAAATTCTCACCATTGAAGAGGAGGTGGCTTCACTTGCTCATCTTGTTGGCTGGTTGTGTGTGCTGGGGGGAGGTTCGTGGACCGAGTGTGTGTAAATGAGCGCCTTCTGCCAGAGCCACCCCCTGGAGTCCTGACCCCATATCCAGACCCCCAGCCCGAGCCTGGTCAGGGATGGTGAGTAGATTTCAACCCTAGCTGATGGCAGTGGCTGCCCAAGAACTGTGTTGTGAAGGACTCTGAAGCTGTGATTAAGCTTTGTGGGAAAGAGTGCATGGATTGATTGGACATGTCTTTCTCGGGCAAGGGAATGGAGAGAGGGACATGTGTGCCACATGTTCCCCATCTCTGCCTGGGTGATCACCCTGCTTCACTGGATGACAAGCGGCCCCTTTCCTTGCCCTTCAGCCCCTGCCTGTCTAGGGCTGTTGGTCACCTTTGCCTCTGCCAACTTCCATTTGGAATCTGACTTCTCAGCCACATGGTTTTCAGGGCACCTTCCAGTTCACCTGCAAAATTCCCAGGTGATTGCCAATAACGTCTTAAAGGGCTTGACTTTCACAGACCTTAATATTGGGAGTGACTTTCTAATGGAGGGATTGGAGATGCCCATGCCAGGTGGTAAGAGAGCCAGTCATTCATGCATGCACTCACTCCTTCATAAACATCTTTAAAAAAAAAAAAAAAAAAAAAAAAACCAGTGGCCTTCGAGTCTACTCTGGCTCATGGTGACTCCATATGTGTCAGAGTAGAACTTTTGCTCCATAGGGTTTTCAATGGCTGATTTTTTGAAAGTGGATATCCAGGCCTTTCTTCTGAGGTGCCTCTGAACTCAAACCTACAAACTTCCACTTAGCAGCTGAGCGTGCTAACAGTTTGCATCACCCAGGGGACTCCCTGAACATATTTTCTGCACTCCTGCAATAAACCAGTCACTGTGCTAGGCTCTGAAGATGCAGAGATGTGGAGAGACCATGCTTGCCACATGGTCCAAAAACCCATTGCCATCAAGTCGATTCTGACTCATAGCGACCCTGTAGGACAGAGGAGAACTGCCCCAGTGGCGTTTCCAAGGCTGTAATCTTTACGGAAGCAGGCTGCCACATCTTTCTCCTGCAGATCAGCTGGTAGGTTCAAACTGCTGACCTTTTGATTAGCAGCCGAGTACTTAACCACTGCGCCACCAGGGCTCCTTTGCTACATGGTAGACACCCAGTAAACATTTTATTTAAAAAAAAAATGAACTCCTTAGTCCATGCCCTCAGGGTCATATTCTGGAGGGAGAGGGAGACAGAAAAGTGAGCAGGAAGTTAAGTGCCTAAGGCTGAGGGAATATAGATGAGGAAACCCTCCTTCAGTTTTGGCTGGTCCAGGAGGGCTTCCTGTAGGAGAGGTTGCTCATGCTGAGACCTAAAGGGTGAGAAGGGGCCAGCCCAGGAATGGGGTGGGGAGAGAGGCCAGGAAAAAAGCAGCAGGAATAAAGATGAGAGCCTGGCAGCCTCAGATAACTGCAGATTATCTTCCTCTGGCAGATCACCAGGTGAGAAGAGAGTTGTGGCAAGGGGAGCTGTTGGAGAGGTGAACAGGGGTAAGGCCATGGAGCACCTTGCCTGTCATGTTAAAGAACTTGCACTTCATCCTAAGGGCAATGGGGAGCCACTAAAGGATCTATAATCTGAGACTCCTCTTGCCCAGTTCTCTTTTCCAGTGAGAGAGAGAGGGAGGGAAAGAGAAAAGGACAGAGGAAGAGAGAGAGAGATCTGAGAATCTGGCTTGCCCATTAGCAGTGTATGAAAGTGTCTGTTTAACCACATCTTCGTGCACGCTGGGTATTATTTTTTCAAACTCCTTACCCATTCGCTAAGTCCCTGGGTGGTGTGGAGCCCTGGTGGCACAGTGGTTAAAAGCTCAGCTGCTAACCGAAAGGTCAGTACTTTGAATCCACCAGCTGCTCCTTGGAAACTCTGTGGGGCAGTTCTGCACTGTCCTGTAGGGTTGCTATGAGTCAGAAGTGACTCGACGGCATTGGGTTTGGTTCGTTTTTTTGCTGGGTGGTGCAAACTGTTTGCACTTAGCTGGTGACCACAGTGTTGGCAGTTTGAACCCACCTGGCAGCACCATGGAAGAAAAATCCTGGCAGTCTGCTTCCATAAAGTTTACAGACAAGAAAACCCTGTGGAGCTCAGCTCTACTCTGTAACACATCGGGTCACCACGAGTCAGAATCACCTCAATAGCACAAGATAACCACAGCCCATTTGCTACAACAGTATATTCCCTTGTTGCTGTTTTATTTGCCGTTCCTTTCTTTCTTAGAGAGGTTGAACGTTTTCCCATTTGTGTGTTGTTGTTGTTAGGTGTCATTGAGTTGGTTCCGACTCATAGCAACCCTGTGTACAACAGAAGGAAACACTGCCCAATCCTGTGCCATCCTCACAATTGTTGCTGTGTGTGAGCTCATTGTTGCAGCCACTGTGTCAATCCATCTTGTTGAGGGTCTTCTTTTTCGCTGACCCTCTGCTTTACCAAGCATGATGCCCTTCTCCAGGGACTGATCCCTCCTGATAGCATGTCCAAAGTACGTCAGAATCTCACCATCCTGGCTTTTAAGGAGCATTCTGTCTGTGCTTCTTCCAAGGCAGATTTGTTCACTCTTCTGCCGGAAGAAGTTTGTGTATTAGCCCTGTGGATTTCCTATTTTATGAACTGTCTATTCTCGTCCTTTACTGGTCTTGAAGGCGGAACCAGATCCAGGGCCTCCAGGAGAATGTACGCAAGCTTCCGAAGCTGCCCAACCTGTCCCCACTCGCCATCAAGCACCTGTGGATCCGCACAGCCTTGTTTGAGAAGGTCCTGGACAAAATTGTGCATTACCTTGTGGAAAACAGCAGGTGAGAAGAGTCCTGGGTGTGCTCTGCCTCTACCTGCTGGCCTTTTTGGGAATTGCACTCTCTTACTCAAAGCCACTTTTTCTTTTTCCCTTTGACGTGTGCTTGATTTGAAAGTGACTAAATAAAGCCCTCCTAGATATTTGACCCTGAACTAGGGAAGTTTCACGTGTTTAATATCAGTGCAAGGTATTTGGATTTGGGGGTGGGTATAGGGATCTTAGGGAGCAATGGTGGTTCAGTGGTAGAATTCTCACTTTCTAAGGAGTGACTGGTGGATTTGAACTGCCAGCTTTTTGGTTAGCAGCTGAGCTCTTAACCACTGCACCACCAGAGCAGTATTAAGTATTAAGTTTACAGAAAAAATGTGCATGAAGTACAGAAAGTCCCCATATGCCCCCTCTCCCCTCTTCACAGTTTCCCAACAATTGATGAACCAGTATTGATGCATTTTATTAACTAAAGTCCATATTTTACATTAGAGTTCACTTTTTGGATTGTGCAGGGCTGTGGGTTTTGACGAACACATAATGTCATGTGTTCACCATGACAGTACCTCACAGAATAGTTTCACGGCCCTAGACTTTAAATTTTCAAGGAATTAGAAGCCACTACACAACAATTAAGGAGCCCTGGTGGCGCAGTTGGCTGCTAACCAAAAGGTCAGCGGTTTGTACCTAACAGCTGCTCTGCAGAAGAAAGATGTGGCAGTCTGTTTCCATAAAGATTACAGCCTAGGAAACCCTATGAGGCAGTTCAGTTCTTTACTATAGGGTCTGTATGAATCGGAATCGACTTGACAGCATTGGAGTTTTTGTTTTGTTTTGTTTTTTTAACACAAAGCAAAACAAGAACACTCAACCTGAACATCGTCTTGACGGTATCAAAGTTATTTTGAAGAGCCAGAGGCCAAGGGGTATATCTGAGCATCTCAGGCCAGCGTCACCAGCATTAGTTATCAGGGCCAGAAGGCCTGTTAACACAGCCTTTCAGTACACAGCACAGCTGAACAACGTTTTATTGCCCCAATATATTAGAAGGGCAGACATCATCTGAGCCTCTAAGCGACTTCCTGTCTGAAATGGAAAATGTGGTTGAAGCAGGTAGAATCATTCACACCGCAGAAGTCTCTGAATTATCATTCCCGTTAACTCTAAAAGAGCTTATTGTGACAATATGTTGAGCTAAGTGCTAAGCGCCTTAACCTATTCTCTGTCTCTCAAAAGTCCTTTCAACGGCCCTATGAGATATGTTGTTATTATCCCCATTTTACAGATGGGACAGCTGAGGCTCAGAGAGGTAACTAAGGGACAAAGAGAGGGATTGAACCCACTTATGTCTGCTCTTAACCACTAGGCAGTAGTAGACCCTCTGCTGGTCTCTGTCCAAATCTACATGTCCTTTCCCCTCTTGCTAGTAAATACTATGAGAAGGAAGCTCTCTTGATGGACCCTGTGGACGGCCCCATCCTCGCGTCTTTGTTGGGTGAGTGTTTGGGTGCTCTGAGCTTCATCTGGAGACTCTGATGTCTGCTCATGGGGGCACCTCCTAAGGGTCTCTTGCACCTCAACCCAGCCTTGTCCATCAAACTGGACCCGTTCACTGTCTCTTGCTCTCAGAGCCTTGTTCTGATTTCTCCTTATCAGGGCCCTGGGGCAGTCTGCCTGCCTGGCGGGTGAGGGGTAGTGAAATGGATGGCCCATCTGGTGGTAGATGGGAGGGTGGACTTTCCAGGGCCACTGATTCCCAACCCCCCGTATGCTCTGCAGTGGGGCCCTGTGCCCTGGAGTACACCAAGATGAAGACCGCGGATCATTTCTGGACTGACCCATCAGCTGACGAGCTCGTCCAGAGACACCGCATCCACAGCTCACACCTGCGACAGGACTCACCCACCAAACGTCCAGCCCTCTGTGTGAGTGGGGTGCCCGGTGGCACCTTGGGAGGGGGTTGGGCTAAGGCCATGCACTTGGGCAGTGCAGGCAGGTGGGGAATGGGGTGGGGGCAATGAAGGTTACTTCAGGCCTTGACCCCCTAGCTCCCCCCACACTTCCAGATCCAGAAGAGGCATTCGAGTGGCAGCATGGACGACCGGCCATCCCTGTCCGCCCGCGACTACGTGGAGTCCCTTCATCAGAACTCCCGTGCCACCCTGCTCTATGGCAAGAACAATGTCCTGGTTCAGCCGGTGAGAGTCCATCTCAGATCCAGACAAGGCCTTCCACTGGGGTCTGGCTCCACGATATAGGGAAGGAGTTCACTCTGGTTCCAGGTTGCTCATCCACCAATCCAGTTATCTATCTACCCACTCAGCAACCCACCCATCCATTCATTCCATCTGCCAATATCTCCAGCCAGCCAGCCCTCTTTCAGTTGCTACTTCCATCCATTCATCCATCCACACATCCACCCACCATTCATCTGTCCATCTGCCCACATTTATATCCAACCATCCACCCATCCATTCACTCATCTACTTATCCATCTGCCCACCTACCCTTCTATCCGTTCATCCATCTGCCAGCATCTCTAGCCAGCCATCCATCCAGCCAGTCAGTCAGCTCTCTTGTTGTTGTCATTGTTAGGTCCTGTTGAGTTGATTTGTACTCATAGCAACCCTATGTACAACAGAATGAAACACTGCCCGGTCCTGCGCCATCCTTACAATCATTGCCACTGTGTCAGTCCATCTCGTTGAGGGTCTTCCTCTTTTTCACTGACCCTCTTCTTTACCAAGCATGATGTCTTTCTCAAGGGGCTGGTCCCTTCTGGTACCACATCCAAAGTATGTGAGACGAAGTCTCACCATCCTCACTTTTAAGGGGCGCTCTGGTTGCACTACTTCCAAGACAGATTTGTTCGTTCTTTTGGCAGTCCATGGTGTGTTCAATATTCTTTGTCAACACCGTAATTAAAAGGCATCAGTTCTTCTTCGGTCTTCCTTATTCATTGTCCAGCTTTCACGTGCATATGAGGCAATTTGAAAATACCATGGCCTGGGTCAGGCATACCTTAGTCCTCAAAGTGACATCTTAACTGTTTAATACCTTAAAGAAGTCTTTTGCAGCAGATTTGCCCAGTGCAATATGTCATTTGATTTCTTGACTGTTGCTTCCATGGGTGTTGATTGTGGATCTAGGTAAAATGAAATCCTTGAGACAAAATTCAATATTTTCTCCCTTTATCATGATGATGCTTATTGGTCCAGTTGTGAGGATTTTTGTTTTCTTTATGTTGAGGTGTAATCCATACTGAATGCTGTAGTCTTTGCTGTTCATCGGAAAGTGCTTCAAGTCCTCTTCACTTTCAGCAAGCAAGGTTGTGTCATCTGCATGATTCAGGTTCTTAATAAGTCTTCCTCCAGTCCTGATGCTACATTCTTCTTCTTCGTATAGTCCAGCTTCTCGCATTATTTGTTCAGCGTACAGATTGAATCAGTATGGTAAAAGGATATAACCCTGACGCACACCTTTCCTGATTTTAAACCATGCAGTATCCCCTTGTTCTGTTTGAACGACTGCCTCTTGGTCTATGTACAGGTTGCACATGAGCACAGTTAAGTGTTCTAGAATTCCCATTCTTTACAGTGTTATCCATAATTTGCCATGATCACACAGTTGAATGCCTTTGCATAGCCAATAAAATACAGGTATAAATCTTTCTGGCATTTTCTGCTTTCAACGAAGATCCATCTGACATCAACAGTGATATCCCTCATTCCACGTCCTCTTCTTAATCTGGCTTGAACTTCTGGCAGTTCCCTGTCAGTATAATGCTGCAACTGTTTTTGACTTATCTTCGGCAGAATTTTACTTTCATATGATATTAATGATGTTGTCCAATAATTTCTGCATTCTGTTGAATCACCTTTCTTTGGAATGCGCACAAATATGTATCTCTTCCAGTCATTTGGCCAGGTAGCTATCTTCCAAATTTCTTGGCATAGATGAGTGAGCGCTTCCAGCATTGCATCCTTTAGTTCAAACCTGTCAGTTGGTATTTCGTCAATTCCTGGAGCCTTGTTTTTCACCAGTGCCTTTGGTGCAGCTTGGACTTCTTCTTCAGTACCGTCGGTTGTTGATCATATGCTACCTCCTGAAATGGTTGAACGTTGACCAGTTCTTTTTGATACAGTGATTCTGTGTATTCCTTCCATCCTCTTTTGATGTGCCCTGCATTGTTCAATATTTAGCCCACAGAATCCTTCAAAATTGCACCTTAAGACTTGAATTTTTCTTCAGTTCTTTCAGCTTGAGAAATACTGAGTGTGTTCTTCCCTTTTGGTTTTCTATCTCCAGGTCTTTGCACATTTCATTATAATACTGTACTTTATTTCTCGAGCTGCCTTTTGAAATCTTCTGTTTAGCTCTTTTACTTCATTATTTCTTCCATTTGCTTTTGCTACTCTATGTTCAAGAGCAAGTTTCAGAGTATCTTCTGACATCCACTTTGGTCTTTTAGTCTTTCCTGTTTTTTAATGATCCTTTACTTTCTTCATGTGTGATATCCTGATGTCATTCCACAACTTGTCTGGTCCTTGGTTATTAGTGTTCAGTGCGTTAAATATATTGTTGAGATGGTCTCTAAATTCAGGTGGGATATACTTAAGGTCGTACTTTGTCTTTCGTGGACTTGTTTTCATTTTCTTCACCTTCAGCTTGAACTTGCATATGAGCAATTGGTCTGTTCCACAGCAGCCCTGGCCTTGTTCTGACTAATGATATTGAGCTTCTCCATCCTATCTTTCCACACATATAGTGAGTTTGATTCCTGCATATTACAATGAATAAGTCATTTGTCTTGCAAAATTCTGTTATGCACTTGGCATCATTTCTATCACCGAGGCCATATTTTCCAACTATCAATCCTTTTTCTTTGTATCCGGCTTTCACATTCCAATCACCAGTAATTATCAGTACATATTGATTGCATGTTTGATAAATTTCAGACTGCAGAAGTTGGTAAAAATCTTTAATTTCTTCATCTTTGGCATTAGTGGTTAGTGTGTAAATTTGAATAATAGTCGTGTTAACTTATCTTCCTTGTAGACGCGTGGATATTATCCTATCACTGACAGCATTGTACTTCAGGATGGATCCTGAAATGTTCTTTTTGACAATGAATGCTACGCTGTTCCTCTTCAATTTGTCGTTCCTGGCGTAGTAGACCACATGATTGTCCTATTCAAAATGGCCAATACCAATCCATTTCAGCTCACTAATGCCTAGGATATCGATCTTTATGCATTCCGTTTCGTTTTTGACGACTTCCAATTTTCCTAGATTCATACTTCGTGCGTTCTACATTGCGATTATCTGTGGATGTTTGCAGATGTTTCTTCTCATTTTGAGTCATGCCACATCAACAAATGAAGGTCTGGAAAGCTTTACTCTGTCCACATCATTAAGGTCAACTCTACTTTGAAGAGGCAGCTCTTCCCCAGTCATATTTTGAGTGTTTTCTAACCTAAGGGGGTCATCTTCTGGCACTGTATCAGACAATGTTCTGCTGCTATTCATAAGGTTTTCACTGGCCGGTGTTTTCAAAAGTAGACCGCCAGGTCCTTCTTGCTAGTCTGTCTTAGTCTGGACGCTCTGCTGAAACCTGTCCACCATGGGTGACCCTGCTGGTGTTTGAAATACTGGTAGCATAGCTTCCAGCATTACAGCAACACACAAGCCACCACAGTACGACACTACCCACCATTCATCTATCCATCTGCCCACTTTTATATCCATCCATGCACCCATCCATCCACTCACTTACACATCCATTTACCCACCTACCTTTCTATCCATTCATCCATCTGCCTGTATGTCTAGCCAGCCAGCCAGCCAGTAAGTCAGCTGTCTTCCATTCTCTGTATTCCCCTGCCCATCATCCATGCATCCACCCTCCATTCATCCATCCATGTGCCCATATTTTTAACCACCAATTCATCCATCTATCCACCATCCACCCGTTTACCCATCCAAAACCAAAAAACCCACTGCTGTCTGGTCAATTCTGACACATGGCGACCCAATGTATGCAGAGTAGACCTGCTCCATAGGGTTTCCAAGGCTGTTAATCTTTATGGAAGCGAACTGCCACATCTTTCTCCCAGGTAGTGGATGGTGGGTTTGAACCACTGACCTTTTGGTTGGCTGCTGAGTACTTAACCAGTGTGCCACCAGGGCTCCTTCTACCCATCCATCCATCCATAATTCATCCACCTGTCTTATCTACTCACTCATTCATCTATCTGTGCATCCACTCACCATTCATCCATTCATCTCTTCAACCATCCTCTTACTTTCCGTCAACTCACCATCTGTCCACCCACCCTCCTGTCGTGCATTTGCCCATCTTTCTATCCATCCATCCTCTGCCTTTCCATCAACCCACCATCTCTCCATCCACCCTACCATCCTCCATCTGCCCATCTTTCCATGCATCCATCCACCCTTCCATTTGTCCGTTTATTTTCCAGTCTGTTTATCTCATTCACTCATTCAGCAGACATCTACAGTGCACCTGCTCTGTGCCTGATGCTTGGAATATCAAGATGATCATCTTCATGACTAATATTTATTGAGTGCTTCCTATGTACCAGGCACTGTGCTAAGGGTTTTTACCTGTATTGACTCATTTAAACTAACAACAGCCTTTGAGGGTGGTAATATTATGGATGATCACACTGAGGCCCAGACAGGTGAAGTAAAGGGCAGAGTTAGAATTTAAATTCAGGCCAGCCAGCACCAGAGTCTGTGCCATTTACCAATCACCTTCTAGGGTCCAGCATTGAGCAGGCCCTGGGGCTGCATGGTAAGTGAGGCAAGTGCAGCCCTGCCCTCATGCTTCATGTCCTTTGGCTGTTCCTGTCCCAGGGCAACCACTCCAGCTCCATGGCCACACTTGAGATCCCTAGGTCACCCTGCGCAAGCTGCTTCTCCCCTCTGAGCCTCAGTATGTGCATCAAAATGGGTATAAGACCCTATTTCCATGTATACAAGATGCACCATTTTTTAACATAACCATCAAAAGATTAAAAATGCTACATAATTATATACAGCATCTTCTCACTACTTGGAAATTTTATTTTACACTTTTTGAAAGAACTCTTTGAGCCTTATTTGGACCTGGTGTTTTTTGTTTTGTTTTTTAAACATACACCACTGTAGTAAGTACACACAAGAGAAAATATAAGTACATTAGTTAAGATATTCCTAACCTTGCTTTATATTTTGGAGTCCAACTCTTCTGTATCACTTTTTGACTTAAAGTTGTTGATGTCCTTGTTTTCCCACCGAATTTTGCTTTCTGTTCCATCAAGAGAAGGGGTCAGCAAACTAGAGCCCGTGGGCCAAATTTGCCCCTCCACCTGTTTTTCTGTAACTAAAGTTTTATTGGGATACAGCCATGCCTGTTTGTTTATGTATTGTCTATGGCTGCTTTGAAGCCCTTGGGTGGTGCAAACGGTTAAGTGCTCAACTACTAGCTGATAGGTTGACGGTTCCAATCCACCCAGAGATGCCTTGGGAGATAGGACTGGTGATCTGCTTCCAAAAGATCACAGCTATTGAAAACCCTATGAAACAGTTCTGCTCTGAACGCATGGGGTCACCATGAGTCGGAATCCACTTGACGGCAGCTAACAACAACGCGGCTGCCTTAAGGCTACAATGGCAGAGTTAAGTGGTTGCAAATGAGCCTGTATGTCTGGCAGAAAAAAAAATATTTACTATCTGGTCCTTTACAGAAAAGTTTGCTGACCTCTCATCAGGAGTACGGGAGCTATAGCATTTCTTGCAAGAGTGTTTGCCTTTGTCTCTGGAACCTTCTTAAGTCCCATAAAGCACTTATTTGTGGCTTTGCAAGAAAACATGGAATGTGGGCATCCCTGCAGTGACAATAATGTGTCTGCTTCACAGTATCACACTGGCGCCTCGCTGCTTTATTGCCATGAGTCGGAATCGACTGGATGGCAATGGGTTTGTTTTCTTTTCTTTTTCAAATGATATTTTGTTGTGTTTTTCGTGAAGGTTTACATAACAGTTTAGTTTCCCATTCAACAACTTACACACAAGTTGTACGGTGACATTGGTTACGTTCTTCACAATGGGTGAGCATTCTCATTAGTCTCTTTCTGATCTGTTTTCATTAATCTAGTTTCCCTGTCCCCCTACCTTCTCATCTTTGTTATTAAAGTAATTATTGACCACTTAGTCTCATATAGATGATATTTTAAAGGGGCAGAGTACTCACGGGTTATTTTCTTAATTTTATGAGCCAATCTGTTATTTAGCTAAAAGGTGACCTCAGGGGTCTATTTCCGTTCAAGCTTTGAGGACTATCTCAGGACAGTAGTCTCAGGGAGTCTTCTGGTCTCAACCAAATTTTTTTAAGAACTTGAGGTTCTGTTCCACATTTTTTCCCCATTCTGTCAGGATCCATCTATTGTGGCCCTGATCAGAAAGATCGGTATTGATAGCCAGGCACCATCTAGTTTTTCTGGTCTCAGGGTAGATGAGGGGGTGGCTCATATAGACCGTCCTGTAGACTAGTTTCTTCTTTGAGTCTCTGGTTCCCTTCTTTCTGTTTTGTTCCAGGTGAGTAGAGACCAATAATTGTGTCTTAGATGGCTATTTGTAAGCTTTTAAGACCCCAGACACTACTGACCAAACTAGGATGTAGAACATAATTTTATGAACTGTGTTATGCCAGTTGACCAAGTTGTCCCACAAGACTATGGTCCTAAGCCTTCAAACCTAGAAAACCAATCCCGTGAGGTTTTTGGTTATGTCTAAGAAGTGTCTGTAACTGTTCCCCCACGTGCTTTATCATATATATGAATATACGTGCATATAGTCACATACACGCGTATACATATGCATACACCTATATATACACACATATAGTCCTATACACATATATGCCTACAAACACAGATATACCAGCAATAGGCTTCTTAATGGGCTGTATTACCCAGTCTTTCTGTGTACACAATAACTTTTCTATTCAAAGCCAAATCGCAGTTTAACCTATTAAAGACATTTTTAATAACACTTGAACTCTGCAAGTGAAGTAACAACCACACACAAAACTTAATTGAAGGGACAACCATATGAGCATCCATGGCTGAGTTTGTGTGAGATCAGGCAATGACAGCTACATCACAATGTGAGATGCCATCGATTATAAGCTACATCCCCCTTTCAGCTACATTCAAATGTGACCAAAAAATGTGCACCTTAGAATCAATGAAAGACTGCTATGGTGTACCCTCAAGGGGTTATAAACGTGTGGTTAAATTGAGACAATGTGCGTAAAGGTTGAGCCATGCTTGGTACACAGTAGGTGCTCAGTAAATGCTAGTCTACTGACTGCACATGCTGTTGAGGTGAGGTTGATAGAGGGGCTGCCCAGGCTTCCTGTACGTGTGAAGCTTTGAGGGTTGGTGACTCCCCTGCCCCACTGCTACCCTCTTGGGGTAAAACAAAGCCGTTGAGAAGTCCTGCAGGCAAATTCTCAGCAGGCAAAGGGCCAGGCTGCTGAGTGGGAAGGGTGTGGGGTTATCTGGGGAAGGAGTTTCTGGGAAATGTCTGAGGGATGGGTTATAGAGCTCAGCTGCCATTTCTTTCTTTCTCCAAGTTTATGGCCAGCGTGATGCCACACAAACACTTTCTGTTTTGGAAGGGGGAATGTTAGGGGGTGGGGGATGTTGGATGAGTTATAGATAGATGGATGGGTAGATGGAGCCCTGGTGGTGCAGTGGTTAAGGACTCGGCTGCTAACCAAAGTTGAAGGTTCAAACCCACCCTTCCCGTTTCTAAAGACCTCTCCTGCCCCCTTGTGGCTGGGCCCCTTGACTTTGGGACGGGGGTATGGCTGTGAAAATGTTGGGAGTGTGGCAACCTTCACAGCTGCACTCCAGGACCATCCTGGAGTTTGGCTGCAAAGGGCTTTGCTTAGCATGGCCACCTGGAAGGAAGATAGAAGTCGTCCCAGCTGAAAACGCCCATGGCCTTGGAGGGAATAACCCAACCTCTTGGTTCTGGTTACGTGTCCTTGAACCAAATGGGCCATGGCTCACGTCTACTGTGAGCGCAGCACTGTGGTCAGGGTTGAGTTGTCCTCCTCTCTCTGCAGAGAGACGACATGGAGGCTGTGCCAGGGTACCTGTCCCTGCACCAGACAGCTGACGTCATGACCTTAAAGTGGACACCCAACCAGCTGATGAATGGGTCTGTGGGTGACCTGGACTATGAGAAGAGGTAGGGCACTGGGTCCCTCGTGTGTCCCCTGGGTCCCTCCACTTTCTCTGGCACAGGGGAATGGCCCTCCTGGGCAGAGGGAGTTTGTGCCCTGCTCCTGCCTGCTACTGTGCCTGGTTGCTGTGGCCACTTAGCCCGTGGATAAGTCAAGAACTCAGGAGAAGCCAGAACCTGCTGGAAGAATCTTAGGGTATGGGTAATGTCCTGTCAAAACACCACCCAGAGAGAGAAATCTTGACAAGAAATGTGTAAGCTTGCAAATGGCAGAATACTCTCCAGTCTCCTGTCCCCCCTTTCTCATCACCCAATAAAAAAGGAGACAGGAAAAAAAGTCGATGGGCTTCTGGTCCAGGGCTGTGTCTCCTGTGATACTCCATGATTTATAACACCCACCAAGGCTTTGGAGTTATTGCTAAGAAAAGAAAACTGGCTCCCTGTAGATTACTGATCTGTGGGATTCCCTGCTGCAAACAGCAGTGTTCTTCTAACACAGCTGGAGTCCCTAGGTGGTACAACAGTTAATGTGTGCTGCTGCGAATCGAAAGGTTGGTGGTTCGGAAGAAAAGCCTGGCGATCTCCTTCCAAAAAATCAGCCATTGAAAGCTCTATGGAGCACAGTTCTACTCTGACAAACATACGGTCGCTGTGAGTTGGAATCAACTCAATGGTAACTGGTTTGGTTTTGGTTTTAGGAAGAACAAAGGGAAGCCACTGTGCAAAGGTGTCGCAGTCCCAATTATTCCACTTTGAGGCGTCTTGGCAGCTGGTGGGGAGAAGTAGTATTGTCTGCTTCTCTGAGCCCACGTCTAATTCTATGTAACTTTTATGTTCTCTTGCTTTTTTTTTTTTTTTTTTCCAACTATGGTCAATATGTCTGTAACAAATCATTTGCCTTTTCAGCATTCTTCACGTATATGATTCGGTGACATTAGTTATGTTTATCGTGTTTTTCAGACATCACCACTATACATTTCCAGATTTTTCTATCACCCTTAACAGAAGCTCAATGTCCCTTAATCAGCAAGTCTCCCCTTCTCCCTCCCTCCCACTCACCCCTGGTAGTCACTAATTGGCTTTTATACATTTGTCTATCCTAGATACTTCATATAAGTGGAATTATACAATATTTGTCCTTTTGTGACTGACTTATTTCATTTTATGTTTGTTTGCTTTCTAAAAAAACCCAAAAACACCTTTTTATTATGAAAAACTTTCAACATAAAGATAGAACTCAGATATCCATTGCCCAGCCTTTACAGCCCTCAACCTAGCCCCATCCAGTCCCTAGCCCCTTCCCTTCTCCCATATTCTGAAGCAGAATACAAATATCCTCTATCTCATCTTAAATATTTTCAATATGCATCTCTAAAACATAAGGACTCTTTTTAAGAACTCTAAGCAGAATACCGCTATGTGTTTGGTTTTAATGTTAAGCCTCAGTGTGACTGATAACCAGGCCCCCCTGCTAAGACCTGTGAAGTCAAGGCTGTTGCGTGACTGTTCTAACACCTGCCCATGGACACGTGGTGACCTGGAGTTAGAGTCTGAGTTAGTCAGAACTCTTAGATGCTAGTGTCAGAAAACCAAACTCAAGCTGGTTTAAACATTGGTTCACATGAACTGAAAAATCCAGAGAGACTGGCTTCAGGCATGGCTGGATCCTGGGACTCTAATGATATCATGAGGACCTGAACTCTTTTCATCTCTTGGTTCTCCTTTCCTCTCTATTGACTCCATTTTCAGGCGAACTTTCCTTGCCATGACCCACTAATGTCCATACAGCTATCATCCTGACCACTATTATCCTAGCAGAGAGGAGTGTCTCTTCCCAGTAATTCTAACATAAATCTAATAACTGAGTCTCATTCGTTCTCCTTGAGTCATGAAACCGTCTCTGAACCAATCACTGTGGTCAGGAATGTGCTGATTGGCCAGACAGCTACATCTGATGTCCTGGAATGGTGTGTGATAGGGTTGGTCTCACCTCAGTCATATGGGTAGAGAAGGGGATCCCCTAGGAAAATTGAGATGCTAGTACCACAATAAGGGGAGACAGGGGCTGGGACACAGATTTTGAGGTAGGTGTGCCCTGGTGAGTTACTTTGATGAAGAAGATGGAGGAGCCCATGGGTGGTGGTCTTCTGGCCTCCCAGGCTGTTCCGTATGATGGGGTGGGCAGGCATAGGCTGCATCCTGTAGGCTTAACTCTCCCACCCTTTCCAGTGTCTACTGGGATTATGCCATGACCATCCGCTTGGAGGAGATTGTCTATCTGCACTGCCACCAGCAAGGTAGGGACTGTGGGCGAGTAGGGGTCTGGGGTCTTCCTCCTGGATCCCTTGGCTACCCATCACCCCTGCCCATTCTTTAATATTATCAGGCAATGTGGTGGGCATCCTTTATTACCCATGTGACCTCAGGCAAGTGACTTTACCTCTCTAAGCCCCGGTTTACCCATCTGTAAAATGGGGGTCATAACAGCACTACTCATGGGGTTGTTGTGAGGATCAAATGACCTACGTCAGCATCAAACCCATGGCTGTAGTTGCTGACACTTACTGAGCACCCATGATGTGCCAAGTACCGTTCTGAGTATTCATGTGCCTGCTGTTTAAGCATCACACAAACAGTGATAGGGGTCCCTCATTCCTATTTTATTTATTTATTTATTTGGGGGGTGGGGACACAATTTATTCACACACCAACCCCTTGAGGGAGTTTACAGTTGCCCCTTCTGTCCTTAATTGAATCCAGCACTCTGTCCCTCCCATTTCCTCTTTCAACTTTGTTAAAACAGGAAGGAAAAAAAAAATCTTCCCTTGACATTCCTCTGTGATAATAGCAGTGAAGTGGGATTTGTTCTGAGCAGTCTGTTAGAACCAGGGTAGCTGGTCCTAGGGATCAGCCATTTAGAGAATGGCTCACTGCCCCCTAAGGAAGAATTTACAATTGCAATAGGTATTGCATAGGTATTGCTTTGCCCCGTTGTCTGGAGGGGTTAATCAATTTCTATGAAATCATTTCAGGTAATCTTTCCTGCGTAACTTGCTTTGTTGCATGGATGTGAATCTTAACAGGTCAACCCCCAAATGCTCCCAGAGGCTTAAGCTGTCATACCAACCTTCCTGAAATGAGTAACCCAGCCAGGGTTACACAGAACGGGCACTAAACTTGAAATAGATTTCATGATTCCTAAGCTTGTATTCCATCCTCTCCCCAGGCCTATTTTTTCCTAGAAATAAAATTGTTCTAGCTAATTACTGGATTAGAGAACATAAGACAGTATGAAAACTTCCCCAGTGGTAACAGAGGTTAAAGGGTGAAGAAGAAGCAGGATGTGTTTGTGTACCGATAACCTTTGTGGCAGTAAACCCTTAAAATAGATCCCCACCCTTGGAAATGAAAAGGCTTCAGGGCTGTACAAACAGCAATAATCTGATCAGAAACTGTTAAAAGCATCAGAGAGATAAGCCTGGTGAGAAACCTTCAGGTGGAAGCAGATAAGCATTGCCTCAGAGGGAAAATGTCTGAAGCAATTTCTCTCTGGAAGCTACTTTTTTTCCCCCTTCTCTTGAAGAGAGGAGAAAGCATTGATTAGAAACAGAAAACGCATGTGCATTTTAAACACAAGACAAGTTCCATTGAAGACCAATCTTCCTGGTAATCCCTTGTCTGTTTGAGCCTCCTTTGAGTTCAGAGTGTCTGGGCATTTAAGGGAACTATCTAATACTATGCCATGTCATTGCCATTTTAGAGGTGAGGAAGCAGCTTGGGACAAAGTCACACAGCCTGTAAGTGCCAGAGCCTGGATTCAAATTCAGATCTTTGTGACTCCAAAGCCCTTGCTCTGAAGATCTAGAATCAGTAGCTAGAGTTCTTCTTAAAGCCCAAGAAGGTACATTCAGAACAAGCAGAGGGCCATCTTTAGAAAGTAAGGAGTCTGTACTTCATCAAGGCACACAGCATTAGTGGTTAAGATCACAGCCTTTTTAATCAAACAGATCTGAGTTCAGATCCTGGCCCAGCCATACCTGCTGTGTGACCTTAGGCAAGTTACTTAACCCCTCTGAGCCTTAGTTTTATCATTTGTGAACTAGACAATAATGGGAGTGAGGCATAGGATTTTTGTGAGTATTAAAATAAGACAATGCCTTTAATGTGCTGTGCTTGTATACAGTAAGTGCTCAATACAAGCTTACTAGAGTCAGTTACTGCCCTGAGAAGGGGTAGATCTGAAACCCTCCATATAAAAATATGGAAGTCAGGTAAATTTGCAGATGACAAAGTCACAGAAGGTTCTGGAAAGGGGTAGTGGTTTGGGGACAGCTTTTTCCCTTGGTGGATGACTTTAGGGATTCCGTCACACTCATCTTGACCTTGCCCTATAGTTCCCCAGCCAGATACAGGTGGTGGGTGGGGTGAGAGGGACTCAAGTGAGGTAAAAACTGTCTCTGACCTTGCGCCCAGGCTGCTCCCGGAGCCTTGGAGCAGGGCCCCTGGGTGTGGCTTGACATCCCTGGGGGTATGTGTTTGCTGGGAGGGCCAGTCATCATGCCTCCTAGTGACTTCCCGCTGGTCTTCTCTGGCCGGGTTGTGGCGGCAGTGGACAGCGGCGGGACAGTGGTCTTGGTCAGCCAGGACGGGATCCAGCGGCCGCCCTTCCACTTCCCCAGGGGTGGGCACCTCCTGCAGTTCCTCTCGTGCCTGGAGAATGGGCTGCTCCCCCATGGGCAGCTGGACCCACCTCTCTGGTCCCAACGGGGGAAGGTAAGTGGTCAAGGAGGGACACAGGGTGCTGGGCTGGGGTTCTCAGCCCCGGGGGCATGCAGGTTGTTGGGGAGAGCTGGCTTGTTGCAGGAACTGTGCATTGGGACGTGTTCTTTCAGGGCAAGGTATTTCCCAAACTGCGCAAGCGAAGCCCCCAGGGGTCCACTGAGTCCACATCTTCAGACAAGGAAGACGACGAGGCCACAGATTACGTATTCAGGATCATCTACCCTGGCATGCAGTCCGAATTGGGTGAGCTGCCCTGGGCCCGGGTGCTGGGGACCCACCTGTTAGTGATCCAGGAAGTCACGCCAGGTGTTTGGAACTAGAAGCCAAGAGGTCTGGATTCTGGGGCCAGCAGGGGGACCTGGAATCAGGAAGTTCGGATCTTGGTGGCCTTGGTTTCTCCCCAGATGAGAGTAATAACCACCCTCTGCTTAGCTACTGAAGATACCTCTGGGCAGGAGGCAGCGGGCAGGGTAATGGTAATGGAACGGGCTCTGAATCCTGCTTCTGAATCCTGGTGGAACTTGAGCAAGCCGCTTCACCTTTCTGTGCCTCAGCTTTGTCATCTGTAAAACAGGGATTGCACAGCAGCTATTTCATGGGGTTGTTGTCAGGATTAAATGCGATAAGGCATGTAAAGCATCTGGCACACTGAGAACTCTCAAATATTAGATGGTGGTGCCAACAGTTAACCCTTTCAGCTGCTAACCAAAACGTTGGTTCAAGTCCACCCAGAGGCAGCTTTGAAGAAAGGCCTAGCTACTTCCCGATCTACTTCCAAAAAAATCAGCCATTAAACACCCTATGGAGCACAGTTTTACTCCGACACACATGGGGTCACCATGAGTCAGAGTTGACTCAACAACAACTGAATTTTTTTTTTTTTTTAAATACTATTAAGATCATCATTATCATGGGGCTATTGTGAGGATTTAAATGAATTAATATTTGAAAAGTGCTTGGAAGGGAGCCTGGCATTTATTAAGCATTGTATGGATATCTGTCAACCAAATCAATATTAAGTTAGAGATTCTTTCTCTTAACCTCGTTTTATTTAACCCTCAGCAGCCCTGTTGTTCCCATATGACAGATAATGGCTCTGAGCCTCCCTTTGCTTAAGTGACCACATGCTGGGCAGAGAGAGACTCTTTTGAAAGCAGACATCCTGTCCTCCCAGGCATGGTTGGACTAATTGTGCCAGGCCACTTACTGCCACTCTAATGTGATGCTTTTTGCCAAGCCCCCTGGCTCTCATTCATCACTGAGTTGGACCTCGGGTCTGGGGCAGGCTTGGCGGTGAGATCTTAACATTCATATTAGTCTGTTATCAGCAACGAGTTTCCTTCGTGGCCACGCAAAGCTGCGTGTTCCTGCATCACTTAAGCACTGCAGAGTGTCTTAAAGTATTCATTATGCCTCCATGTCCATTTCCCTCCAGTATCTTGGCTGGAGCCTGCCCAGCCTCCCCCTGGGGCCTCAGCTCTCACAGCCCTGGCCCAACGCCAAGGCTCTTCCTGGTCCCATGGCTGAGGAGGCTTGGTTTGTGGATGTTGAGCTGGCTTCTCTTCAGCTTCCAAGAGACCTGGGCATCCTACCTGCTGTGAAGACTGATATGAAGATGCCCCTTCAGAGAACTGATTCAGTAGAGATGGCCAGATCCCCTGTGGCCACCTTCCCAGGGAGCTCTCCCGACAGGTTCTCATCCAACAAATAATGTGTAAGCTCCTGCTGGGAGCCAGGCTGAGTGCTGGATGTTTTACTTATTTGGGGAATATCCATGCTGTCCTGTTGTGGCTTGACATGGGCCAGTGGGACACTGGCAGCAGGCACCCACGTTTCCCATTCTGTGCATGCCAGCCATCCGCCTGTCAGCTGCCAGCCCCAGCATCTCTTTGCTTGCCTGAGGGGTTTCTCTGGCCACCAGGGGCCCCTCTGCCTATGAGTGGGGCAGATTGGAAGTGCCAGGGAATCAGTGCCTTCATGGTGCAGCCCTCAGCCAACAACTGGTGTAAAAATACCCCAGCTCCCTCACTTCCTCAGGTGGGAAGCTCTGAAATGTGTGCTCCACACAGTCTCCCAGAGGTCCCTGAGGGGATAAGCACCATTGCCCACTGTGGTAACTTGCCTGGTAACTATCTTAGTCATCTAGTGCTGCTATAACAGAAATACCACAAGTGGGTGGCTTTAATAAACAGAAATTTATTTTTTCACAGTTTAGGAGGCTAGAAGTCTGAATTCAGGGTGTCAGCTCTAGGGTAAGGCTTTCTCTCTCTGTCAGCTCTGGAGGAAGGTCCTTGTTCCTTGGTTCCTTGGAAATCTTCATGTGCCTTGGCATCAATCTTCCTCTGCTTGGTCACTTGCTTGTTAAATCTCTTTTGTATCTCAAAAGAGATGGATTGAAGACACACCCTACACTAATCCTGCCTCATTAACATAACAAAGACAACTCATTCCCAAACGGGGATTATAACCACAGGTATAAAACCAAACCAAACCCGTTGCCATCCAGTCAATTCTGACTCATAGCGACCCTATAGGACAGAATAGAACTGCCCCATAGGGTTTCCAAGGAGCAGCTGGTGGATTTGAACTGCCAGCCTTTTGATGAGCAGCCGTAGCTCTAAACCACTGTGCTACCAGGGCTCCACCACAGGTAGAGGGGTTAGGATTTACAAGACATATTTTTGGGGAACACAATTCAATCCAGAATAGTATCTAACCCTTTATAGACTCCTCCTTCTCTGTCTCACTTCACCTCTCCCCAGCCAGTGCTTCCTGGGACCACCTCCCTAATAAAAACATGCGCTTAAATGCAAGGTCTGCCTTTGAGGAAACCCCAGCTAAGTCTGTGTATTTGGAATAGGGTTCCTCCACCTTAGCACTACTGATATTTTGAATGGAATAGTCGTTTGTGGTGGGGGCTGTCCTGTGCATTGGAGAGTGTTGGGCAGCATCCCTGGCTTCTCCTCACTGGATGTTGTTGTTGTTGTTCGGTGCTGTCAAGTGGATTCCAACTCATAGCGACCCTGTAGGACAGAGTAGAACCGCCCCATAGGGTTTCCAAGGAGCGGCTGGGGGATTGAAACTGCTGACCTTTTTGGTTAGCAGCCTCGCTCTTAACTGCTCTGCCACCAGGGCTCCCCCTACTGGATGCCAGTAGTATTTCCTCCATTGTGACAACCAAACAATGTCTCCAGACATTGCCAAGTGCCCTCTGGGGACAAAATCATCCCTGGTTGATAAACAGTGACAGAGAGGAAAGAGCACGCCACTGTATTCAGCTCTGCCACTTGCAGTACGGTTAAATGACTCTGACCTCTCCGGGGCTCATTTCTGGAGCTGTAAAATGGGAATAACAATACCCCACTTCAAGATCATATTCTGGGGTTTCAATGTGATGATGCATGAATTCACCTGGTGTGGGGCCTGAGGCTTTGCAGATGCTCAGTCAGCGACTGTAGGTATCGTGCATTGAGCGCCACTGTGTGCCAAGCCCTCTTCTATGTGCTGTCCATGTCTAAACTCATTTAATCCTCACCTCAGCCTTCCCAGGCAGGTACCATTGTTCTCACCATCCCCACTTGCAGAAAGAAAACTGAGGCACAGGAAGGTTAAGTAACTAGTACAGGGTCACACAGCTTATTCTTGGTATGACTGGAATTCAAACCAGAGTCTGTGCTTCTAACCATGCAGATTATTTTGACTGGGGGAGGGGGATTGTGGTTTCACCCCCTTGACCCTCAAGGTCAGATTCAGCTCATGTAGAAATGGTGACCTTGTCCTTGGTTGATTTTCTTGGGGGCCTGAGCCACACAGGGTTAACAAAAATAGTCATCTATAGTGTTCTTCTGTGAGAGGTATGATGGAATCCTTTTTTGAAATATTGCCTAAATCAAAAAGCAGCCAGCCACTACCTGCAGGCCAAATCCGGCCCTCTGCCTGCTTTCATAAATAAAATTTTATTGGAACACAGCCATACCTGTTTATGCATTAAGGTCTGCGGCTGCTTCCATGCTACAACAGCAGAGTTGAGTAGTTGTGATAGATCCTGAACAGCCCGCAAAGCCGAAAATATTTACTATCTGGCCCTTTACAGAAGGAGTTTGCTGATGCCTGCCTTAAATAATAGGCAAGGAGAGTTTCATCCCGTGGGAGGGAAGATGTGGTCACAGATGAGTCTTTTCTTTCTTTCTCTCTTTTTTGATGGTTTGTTTTTAGTTATAATCCCATAGGTAGATGGTATCTATTTATTTTTACAATGTATTTTTGTTGTTGAGAGTATGCACAGCGGAGCATACACCAATTCAACAATTTCTACATGTCCAATTCAGTGACATCGATTACATTCTTAAAGTTGTGCAACCATTCTCAGCCTCCTTTTCTGAGTTATTCTTCCCCACAGATGATTCTTAATGCAAAGAACCACCTGGTTCTTTGCCTGCCTCTTATGGCGCAAACAGTTTGCACTCGACTACTAACCTAAAGGTCAGCCATTTGAACTCACCCAGCAGTGCCAAGGAAGAAAGGCCTGGCAATCTGCTGCTTTAAGATTATAGTCAAGTAAACCTATGGTGCAGTTCTACCATGTAACACACAAGATTGCCACAAGTCGGAATTGACTTGATGGCAGCAGGTGGTGGTTTTTTTGTTTTTTGGGTTTTTTTTGGTTTTGTGCTCAAGAGAAGGTAAAGGTAAGTTCTAAAACAGGTTTATAGTCAGTTAAGGGCCTTTTCAGATACCTTTGTCCCTGAGGCTATCTAGATCTGCACTGTAGCCAGGAGCCACCTGTGACTATGGAGAGCTTGCAATCTGGCTAATCCAAATTGAGCTGTGCTGAAAGTGTAAACTGCACACCAGATTTCAAAGACTTTACATAAAAAACCCAGAATGTAAAATATCTCATTAATAATCTTTTATATAGGATATATGTTAAAGTGATAATATTTCAGACACATTGGTTAAACAAAATATGTTGTTAACATTAATTCCACTTGTTTCTTTTTACTTTTTTAATGTGGCTACTAGAAAATTTTAACCTGTGTATGCAAATCACATTGTATTTTTATTGGACAGCGTTGGTCTAGAGCAGAGTTAATCAACCTTGGCACTAATGACGTTTTGGGCCGAATAATTCTTTGTGTGGGTGGCTGTCCTGTGCATTGTGGATGTTGAACAGTACCCCTGGCCACTACCCACTAGGTGCCAGGAGCAGCCAGCTGTTGTTGTTGTTAGGTACTGTCGAGTCAATTTCCAACTTATAGTGACCCCATGTGACAGAGTAGAACTGCCTCACAGTTCTTGGTTTTCTTGGGTGTAATCTTTACGGGAGCAGATCACCAGGTCTTTCACCTGCAGAGCCACTGGGTGGATTTGAACCACCAACCTTTAGGTTACCAGCTGAGCGCTTAACCATTGTGCCACCAGAGTTCCTAGCATCTAGCTAATGCTGTAGAAATGGCTCCAGACGTTGCTGGTTGTCCTCTAGGGAGCAAAATCACTCTGCTTGAGAACCGCTGGTCTAAGGTGAGGACAGTGTTGAGAGACAATAAAACCACTTGCCATCAAGTCAATTCTGACTCATGGTGACCCCGTGTGTGTCAGAGTAGAACTGTGCTCTGTAGGGTTTTCAGTGCCTAATTTTTCTGAAGTAGATTGCCGGGCCTTTCTTCCAAGTCTGGGTAGACTTGAACCTCCACCCTAGAAGTTAGCAGCTGAGCATGTTAACTGTTTACATCACCCAGGGACTCCTGGGAAGACAATAGCCAATGGGAAAACAGCGTGAGGAGCTATGAGCAGGTTCTCAGAAGTCCCATTCCCTGCCTTGGAATCCAGGCTCCACCACTTATTAGCTGGGTGACCTTGGGCATGTTGCATAAATTCTCTGCGCCTCAGTTGTCTAATCTGCAAAACAGAAGAATGATAGTACCTACCTAAAGAGTCCCTGGGTGGCACAAATGGTTAAGCATTCGACTATGGACTGAAAGGTTGGTGGTTCAAACCGACCCAAAGGTGCCTTGGAAAAAAGGCCTGGAGATCTGAAAACCCTATGGGGCACAGTTATATTCTGCACGCACAGGGTCGCCATGAGTTGAAATCAACTTGACAGCAACTGGTTTGGCTTTTGGTCTACCTAAAGAGTAGACACTCAGAAAGGGACGTTTCTTGTTAGTGGAAAGAGAAAAGCGACTTCAGTCAAACAGACCAGATATGTGGGGCTCTGGGTGACTAAGTTGTCATAGTTCTGAACCTGTCTCCTCTTCTCCAGAAGAAATGCATCCCTTACAGGGCTGTTAGAGTGATAGGACGATCCCCTGCCTAGCACAGCACCCAGCACATAGTAGGCACTTTATATAAATATCAGCATTCTTGGTTCCTTTAATCAAACACAGTGCATGGGAGCTATGGGGAACAGGGCAGAGAAAGGGTTCAAACCCCGAGGAATTAGTTCTTCAGTGTTCCGCTCACCTCAGACCTTCCATCTCACCGGTTCTTTTTGTTTTGTGTCTCAAGTTGCTTCCGACCCCTTGGGCAGCCCTTCCCCCATCTCCGTGGGCCCTGCCTGGATGATGGTTCCTGCGGGCCAGTCTGTGCTGGTGGTGGCCAGGGGGAGTCAGTGGGTGCGAGCCAGATGGGACACCGCCCTCCCAACACTGGGCCTGAAGGAGCAGCCCCCTAGTAATGTCTGGGCTTCCCCCATGGGCTGGGTGCCGGCCTCCTCCGCCATGTTGTCATCTGAGTCTTGATCAAGAGGGAGGTGGGTGCAGGAGAAATATTGATGCCTGAACACTGTTCAGATGCCACCCTGCAGGAGGCAGCCTGGAATGTTGTATTGGTTTGGTAACAAAGGGATGGATTAATGATGTCTGCACGGGTGTGAGGAGCTGGGATGGAGGCATGTTTTGCTACCCCTGGGCTAAGCTGATCAATGCTTCCTTGAGGTGGGCTAAGACCTGGGGACATTTTTCTAGACCATTTGATAGGGGCTTACTGGTCTTTTTGGCCAGCTCAAGTGAGGCCAAGTCCACCATCCCCTTCCCTTGCAGCTCAGGGGAAGAGGCAGGAGGCTGTCAATTGTCCTTGCAGAGGCATGGCACATGGGGCAAATGTACTACCCTCTTAATTTTCTAGAGCTAAGGGTTGGCAAACTATGGCCCGCGGGCCAAATCCAGCTTTGTTCTATACAGCCCATAAGCTTTCAATATTTTTTACATTTTTAAATGACTGAAAACATTTTAATAAGAATAGTACTTTGTGACATGTGAAAGTTATATGAAATTCACATGTCAGTGTCCATAAACAAGGTTTTATTGGCATACACCCATACTCATTTGTTTACGTACTGTCTGTGGCTGCGTTCACACTACAACAACAGAATGATGGTGACAGAGACCAAATGACTCGCAAAGCCAACAACATTTACTGTCTGACTCTTTACAGGAAAAGCTTGCTGACCCTGGTCCTAGGGAAAATAAAAATGTTGCACCTGTCTAGAACTATCAAGAAGCCAGTAAGTTTGCTCTGGAAGTTACAATGCATATGTCCGCAGTATGTTTCTTCTGCAGCTTTGCAGACACTGTGGCTTTCGTGAAGCTGGAAAAGAAAAAAAATAAGAGAAATTACTGTTTCCTGGGGTCAGCTAATCAGGAGTCGCCAATGTCCAGGAGTTAGGAGTTGGTTCTCACTCAGACGTGACTGGTTATCCAAATTATTTTAAAAATACAGATTTGTCCAAAGCAATAGTTGTTGAATGAGTCCTGAGGACTTACAAACACACACACACACACACACACACACACACACACACACACACACACGAAGGAGCCCTGGTAGCACAATGGTTCAGAGCTCAGCTGCTAACTGAAAGATTGGCGGTTTGAACCCACCCAGTGGCTTCCTGAGAGAAAGACCTGGTGATCCTCTCATACAGATTACAGCCAAGAAAACCCTATGGGGCAGTTCTACTCTGTCACATGGAGTCACTATAAGTCAGAATTGATGATGGCACCCAACAACATAAGTATATATATATGTGTGTATAGGTATGTGCATATATATAGATAGATACATACACATGTGTGTGTGGGTATATATATGTCATAATATATGTATATACATACATAAAGATTTGAGGGCTCTATCTTCAGGAGGTTTTAATTCAATATATCTGGGTTAGGGAGTGGGCATATGACTTCTTAACAAGCCCCACACATGATTTCGGAGGGCTGCCGGCCTGTTTGCAACACCCTTGGTGGAGCAGCTGAGGACCATGAACTGTGTCCCTTGCCCTTGTGTGTCCTGCCTCGACTGTTGAGCCTGGCTGCCTTCCACCTCATCACCAGGAACTCCTTGTGAGGTCTGTCTCTGGGGACTTGAGACCCTCCACCTTCCCCAGAAGCCCCCAGCAGGCTCCCTTTCTTGCCTTAGCATCATGCGAGGACACCTAATGACAACATGGCGAGGCTTGGCCTCCTGCTCTGGGATTGGGCCTGTTTGCTTGGCTCTGGTCTCTCTCTCTGTGCCCTTCGTCTCTCTTCTGCTGCCATCTGCTGGGCCCCCCAGACCTTGGTGGTGGCTTACACTGGATCAGGTGGGTTCAAGGCCCTGGGTCAGATTATGTTTGGGGTAACTTTCCTCTGTCACATTTGGGGTCTTTCCCTATCCCTGTGCTGGCCTTGGGGTGAGCTGCTTGCTTTGGGCTGAGATTTCTGTGACCCACACAGGCTTACCCAGGACCCTTCCTCTGCCCCTTCTTCTACCCAACACAGTCCCCCAGGACCTGATGGATGTCTCTGTGAGCAGTCTGCCATCCCTGTGGCAACCCAGCCCTCGGAAGTCCTCCTGCTCATCCTGTTCCCAGAGCAGCTCGGCTGATGGTGGCTCCACCAGTGGCTGCAACCATGAGAGGTATGAGGGGCTTGCGCTGTGGATGGAGGGAACCCAAGGATTTAGCAAATATTTGTGGGTGCCTGTTTTTTCCCTCTTACTGAATTCAGAGACATGAACATAGGCAATGGAATCAAACAGATCTAGGTTAAATCCTGGCCTAGTGAAGTACTAACTGTTGGGTCTTCTTTACATGTATCAGTCAGGATAAACAAGGTTATGCCGCAGTAACTAACAGTCCTAAAATCTCAGTGGCTTAGTGCAGCAAGGGTTTATTGATCATGCATGCTGTGTGTCTGTCATGGATCAGCTGGGGGCCATGCTCTATCCACCAGTTTGAACATTGCCAGTCACAGTGACAGAGGGGAAGGTAGCTCAAGAGAGGCTTGAAGCAAAAATTAAATGCTCCAGCCCCGAAGTGGCACATGTCATTTCCACTGATAACTCATTGGCCCCACCCACAAGGGGGAAGGAAGTACAGTTCTACCATGTGCCTGGAAAGCAGAAACCAGAAATATTAACGACAACCACAGATGTCTCAGTTTGCTCCTCTACAAAATGGGGATATTAATGCCTACTTTATAAAGCTATTATAAGGAGCCAGTCAGATTAATGGTTTAAAGTGGCCAGAGCATGGTACCTGGCACATGGTAATGCTCAGTAAACCAAAAGAAAAAAACAAACAAACTTGTTGCTGTTGAGTTGATCCCAACTCATAGTGACACCATGTGTTATAAAGTAGAACTGCTTATAGGTTTTCCTTGACTGTAGCCTTTATGGAAGCAGCTCACCATAAATGACACTTTTTATTTTAATTACAAAGTTAAGCCCCTAGCTCATCTCTCTCCTTGCACGTAGAACTTTCAGTCTCATTGGAATTGTTGTTTGGTGCTGTCAAGTTGGTTCCAACTCATAGTGACCATATGTAAAACAGAACACTGCCCCATCCTGCGCCATCCTCACAATCGTTGTTATGCTGGAGCCCATTGTTGCAGCCACTGTGTCAATCCATCTTGTTGAGGGTCTTCCTCTTTTTAGCTGGCCCTCTAATTTACCAAGCATGATGTCCTTCTCCAGGGACTGGTCCCTCCTGATAACATGTCTGAAGTATGTGAGACGTAGTCTCGCCATCCTTGCTTCTAAGGAGCATTCTGGTTGTGCTTCTTCCAAGACAGATTTGCTCATTCTTTTGGCAGCCCGTGGTATATTCAGTATTCTTCGCCAACACCACAGTTCAAAGGCGTCAGCTCTTCTTCCGTCTTCTTATTCATGTCCAGCTTTCACATGCATATGAGGCAATTAAAAATACCATCGCTTGGGTCTGGTGCACCTTAGTCTTCAAGGTGACATCTTTGCTTTTTAACACTTTAAAGAGGTCTTTTGCAGCAGATTTGTGCAATGCAGTGCATCTTTTGATTTCTTGACTGCTGCTTCCATGGATATTAATTGTGGATCCACGTAAAATGAAATCCTTGACATCAGTATTTTCTCCATTTATCATGATGTTGCTTATTGGTCCAGTTGTGAGGATTTTTGTTCTCTTTACGTTGAGGCATAATCCATACTGAACGCTGTGGTCTTTGATCTTCATCAGTAAGTGCTTCAAGTCTCCTTCACTTTCAGCAAGCAAGGTTGTGTCATTTGCATGACGCAGGTTGTTAATGAGTCTTCCTCCAATCCTAATGCTGGATTCTTCTTCTTCATGTAGTCCAGCTACTCGGATTATTTGTTCAGCATACAGATTGAATGAGTATGGTGGAAGGATACAACCCTAACGCACACCTTCACTGACTTTAAACCACCCAGTATCCCCTTGTTCTGTTTAAGCAGCTGCCTCTTGATCTATGTGTAGGTTCTTCATGAGCACAATTAAGTGTTCTAGAGTTCCCATTCTTTGCAACATTATTCATAATTTGTTGTGATCCACACAGTTGAATGCCCTTGCATAGTCAGTAAAACACAGGCAAACATCTTTCTGGTATTCTCTGCTTTCAGCCAGGATCTATCTAACATCAGCAATGATATCCCTCGTTCCACGTCCTCTTCTGAATCCGGCTTGAATTTCTGGCAGTTCCCTGTTGCTATACTGCTGCAGCCACTTTTGAATGATCTTCAGCGAAGTTTTACTTGCGTGTGATATTAATGATATTGTTCAATAATTTCTGCATTCAGTTGGATCACCTTTCTTGGGAATAGGCATAAATACGGATCTCTTCCAGTTGGTTGGCCAGGTATTACTCGGCCAATTTGTGAGTCTGCTCTTGTCTCCTACTGGCCCAGCCTTGCCTGGCCTGGGAGAGTGAATTCCTTCCTTCCTTGCTGGGTCTCTCTCCCAGTGGATGGTCCAGTCTTCATCTGCATCAGGGTAGGGGTGGCGGCCAGCGTCAAGTTTTAAAGTCGTCTAACCCCTGGCTCCTCAATGTGTGGTCAGTGGACCAGCAGCATCAGCAACATCATCTCGGCCCATCCCAGACCTCCTGAGTCAGAATCTGCATTTAACAAGATCACGTATGCACATTTCAGTTTGGGAAGCACTGAGCTAACCAGAGATTCTCAAAGTTTAATGTGCATCAGAATCACCTGACGAAGATGGCAAAACACAGTGGTCCCTTGGCCCTGCCCCCTTAGAGGTCTTGACTGAGTAGGTCTGTGCAGGGCCCAAGAAGCCATATGTTGAAGAATCCCCGAGTGACTCTTGGACCATTGAGAAATGCTGCTCTAACTCAGTACCTGCTCTTGTAGCATCTGCTTACATACCTGTAGTGACGGGGAGCTTACCACCTTGCAGATAGCCTGGTCCACTGCGGGACAGCTGTCAACGTGATGCTGTTCTTTTGTAACCTGAGCAAGTCTGGGCCTCACCAACCTGAAGGCACAAAGGAGGTCACTTTAATTTTTAATGCCTCCATGTGCGTAACTGGAGGCCCTCAGCCAAGCCCTGGGGTTTCCTGGGTGTCCCCTGGGATGTCTTAGAAATAAATATGCAGATATCCCTCTATTCTTTCCTCTGTAAGAATGCCCAGAACTCCCTTCGGAAGTCCCTGTTTTCTCCAGCCCCAAAGTCTGGGTCCCTAACTCCTTTCTCTTCTTTCAGCCACGAATGCTCCAAAGATTCCCATGCAAGGAGAGGCTGTGAGGCATCATCTTCTCTGGCCTCAGCAGACTCCGAATCCCACTTTGGTTCAGCTTGGTTCAGTTGGGTCACTTTAAAAGTCAGAACTCTTTCTGCAAGCGAAAGAAACCTAATTCAAACTGATTTAAGTTAAAAAAAAAAAAAAGAAAAGAAAAGAAAATTTGTTGACATAACTAAGAAGTCCAGAGGCATAGTGTCTTCAGGCATGGCTGGATCCAGAAGCTCAAAACAAAAATCTCTGTCTCTCCAGTTCTTGGCTCTGTTTGCCTCTGTGATAGCTTCATTCTCAGGCAGGCTCTTTCCATGCAGTGGCAAAGAAGTTCCCTAGCAGCCACTGTCCTGTGTCTTGCTGGCTTAAAAACTCAAGCAGAAAAAGAGTCTGTTTCTTAGTAGTTCCAACAAAAGTTCGAGGAATGATTCTCATTGGCCCCGGTTGGGTCACATGACCATCTCTGACCCAATCACCACGGTTCCAACCTGGGTCATGTACTAGGTAGTTTGTCCAATCCAAACCACAGGGACATCGGGACAGAGAGTTGCGGGAAGGATGTTTCCCCAAAGGAAAATTGAGACAGACTAGGAAGAAAGGCCTGGTGGTCTGCTTCTAAAAATCAATCAGTGAAAACCCTATGGGTCACAAGAGTCTGATCCACAGCTGATGACTGATCATAGGGATGGTACGGGACCGGGCAGCATTATGTTCTGTTGTGCGTGGGGTCACCATGAGTCAGAGCGCAACTCAATGGCAGCTAACAACAACAACAGTCTCCATGACTGGCTGGTTTTAGTATACCCTCTAGAGATAACAAGTTATGCTCCTGTCCAGGAAACCTAAGCGGTGTAGGCATCTGTTCTAAGCTTCTCCCTATTCCTCCTCCTGCAGGGCTCCCCTGAAGCTTCTTTGTGACAACATGAAGTACCAGATCCTTTCCCGAGCCTTCTATGGATGTGCGTATTGCCCTTCTTTGCCAGTGTGGGTCCCTGGGGAGCATTTATTGTCTACTATTTGCCAGTAACTCCAGGGGAAGGGGCCTGGCTCTGGAGTTTGAACTTCTGCTCTCCTGTTTCTTAGGGGTCTGGTCTCAGTGAAGTTTCAGTAATCTCTCTGAACTTCTATTTTCTTCTCTACAGATTGGGAGAAATTTTATCCCTGAGTCCCAAGAGAGGGTAGCAAACAATGGCGCTCCTCAGAGGCAGGGAGTTTGGTTTAATCACCATTGCTTCCCCAGCACTCTCTTGGACGGTTCTCTTCAGGGTTGAGTGAGAAGCATGGATAGAGCACCTAGCCCCCAGCATTGCCTGTCATAGGTGCTCAATAAATGTCAGTCCCTACTCCTGTGAGCAGAAGCATAAGAGTAAAGTGGCCTGATCCTTTCCCAGGAACTTACAAACTAAATTTATAACACAGACACTGTGATTCTCCTCACTTAACAGATGAGGAAACTTTGCACAGAGAGGGAAGTGACTTACCCAAGGTCACACAGCAATTAAGTGGCAGAGCTGAGTCTCAAACCTAGCCCTGCCTGACTGCAAAAGCTCTTTTTTCCAGTCTGCTATATTGATCCTTGCAGATTTTATTTCCCTAGCCTCATACCTAGATGGGGAAGACGAAGCATGTGTGTATTTTCAGGGATTCCAGAAAAGTCCTGATGCAGGCTACATGGGCCTGCAAAATGGCAGTGCAGGCCATATCCCTGAGTGCCCCGAGAGGCAGAGAGAGCATGAGCTCCACCGGGGCAAGGTTTTTGCCTGTTGTGTTTCCACCCACCCCCAATGCCGAATGCAGGGCCTAGCATGGAGTAGGTATTGGACAAGTAGTATTGAATCCAAATGGAAGATCTTTGTGAAGGAAGTAGTGGGGGTTGCGATGGGTCTGGAATAATGCTGTCATGCGATGTAGTTCATCCCTAAGACTGTGCACATGGTGGTGGAGAGCCTTAGTTCTGGAGCCAGGCAGCCTGGGTTCAAATCCCAGCTCCATACTTCCTGTCAATGTGACATGGGCAAGCGATTTAACCACCTAGGCCTCAGTTTCCCCATCTATAAGGTGGGGATAATAATAGTACTTGTTTCATAAGTTGTGAGAATAAAGTGAGTTAGGTTCTGTGAGCTCTGAGAACAGCACCCTGGCACATAGTGTGTGCTGTATACATGTTAGCTATTATTATTTTCCCTGTTGTTTGTAGGGGTAAGATTTCAGGCTCCAGAAGGTCCACGGTGCTCTCTGGGAGTTGGGGATGAGATGGTGGTGGGGAGGTACCAGAACAGGAGAGGGTGGAGGTAGGCAGGCCTTCCTTTAAGGGTGCAGGGCCATCTTTGAAAGCAAACTGGGTGCCCTTGGCCTCTGCCCCGGTTACGACTTTCTGGGGTCTTCTTTTTCAAAGCTACAACTTGAATGGGGGTCGTCTGCCTCTCATGTTCTCTCTCTCTGGATTGGGGGCACCATGAGGGCTTCTCTCGGGGTCAGAAGGTGGTCTGAGGTACAGTGAGCCTGGCCCCTTCTCTGCCTCCTCCAGCCTGGTGGGCCATTAACTGCTTTGGCTTCCAGCAGAGGAGGGTGGCAGTACCCCCACCAAGGCTGAGAAAGGTGATGGGATGTCCCCTTTCTAAGGGTCATAGAGCTATGAAGCGGTCAAGCCAGCAAGTGACTCCACCCCTCTGAGCCTCCTCTTCCTGTCTGGAAAAGGGGGATGATGAGAATCTGCTGGGTGATGAGGATTCAATAAGATTGTGACTGAGAGAACTCTTTGGAAACTCTGTGAGAGCAAGAGAGAGATGTCAGATGGTGGAGGATGACACTTTCCCCTCCCTGGCAGGGCTTGCTTACTGCAGACACCTGTCTACTGTGAGGACCCACCTGTCAGCCCTGGTCAACCACAGGATCGTGTCTCCGGACTTGCCCTGCGATGCTGGACATGGGCTGACGGCAGGGATCTGGGAGCAGTACCTTCAGGATAGCACAGTAAGGTGGCTCGGCGGGGCCTGACTCTGCTTGGGTGGGGAGGGGGGCTGCAGGTGAGCCCATCTTGTCATCTGAGGAATAGACCCACCTGCTTGTGGGCACTCCAGTTGGCATCCTTGTGATCTGCATATGCAAATTGAAGGTCCCCAACTCTTCTGGAGAGTTCCAAGACCCATAGCCCACTTCTGTCCTTTGGGGTGGGAGTGGAGGGGCTGGAAAACAGAGATGTTTGCCTAGAGGAGGTAAAGAATGAATCAGTCAGTAAGCATCTATTAAGAACTGGGTGTGTACTCAGACCTGCAGGAGGTACTGTGACATGGCCTCAGCCAGAAAGATTTTACAATCCAGCTGAAACTACTTGGTATGAGGCTATTGTTAATTGTCATGTTGGCTCCGACTCATGGCGACCTTATGTAGAAAAGAACGAAACATTGCCCGGTTCTGCACCATCTTCACAGTCGTTTGTATGATTGACTCCATTGTTGTGGCTATTGTGTCAATCCATCTCATTGAGGGTTTCCCTCATTTTTTGGCTCTCTACCAAATACGATGTCTTTTTCTAGCAATTGGTCCTTCCTGAAGACACGTCCAAAGTAAGCGAATCAACATCTCGCCATTCTTGCTTCTAAGGAACATTCTGGTTATATTTCTTCTAAGATGGATTTTTGGTTCTTTTGGCAGTCCATGGTATATTCGGTATTCCTTACCAACACCACCGTTCGAATGCATCATTTTTTCTTCTGTCTTCCTTTTTCATTATTCAACCTTCCCGTGCATATGAGGTGATTGAAAAGACCATGACTTGGCTCAGGTACACTTTAATCATCAAAGTGGCATCCTTTTTAAGACCTAGAATGATGAGAGCAGCTAAATTAGAGCGAGGCAGTTGGACTAAGAAAACCCCACCACTGTTCAGAAATCTTTCTCCCGTCTGAGGGAGAAAGGTTCTGTGTGGTCTGAGGGACCTGAGGTTGTACCATTAGCATATTTTATGTGGATATAGTCATTCCTTGAATGCTTTCTAAGATTTTTTTTTTATTAGAATGCAAATATTCCTCAAATGAAAATGTTTATGTTTGAAAAAAGGTTCAAGGTCAAATAGTTTGGGAAACTTAAATGGTTAAACAGCTTTCTGTATTCTGCAGGACTTCTCAGAACCTTGGTTATGCTAACATGCTTGTCACTCTGAAAAAATTAGGGTATCATGGGAGATTGTATATAACTTTCTCTCAAATGCATTTGGCCACAGCAGCAACTGTTGTTGGAAGAGTACCTGTCACAGCTAGTGGAAGGTGGAACCCGCTTTGAGAAACACTAGTTTATCCACTGCCAAAAGCAGGCAGTTGGAGAAGAGGTACCTGTTTCCTCAACACTGGGTGGATCTAGTGGCCCAGTCTGTTGTGTGCCTTTCCACGTGGTCCCTGGGGAGGACCAAGCTGGTGAGCACCTGGGCAAGGCTGGCTTCCAAGTATTGGTGGGAAGGTGCTATTCTGTGCATTACTCTGGGGACATCAGAGAACTCAGTGGGAAAAAATAAATTGGTTCCCAAACCTGGACAAGCAGAAGGGTTGTTTTTGTTTTTGTCAAAAAGTTATTTTTCTAATTTACAGAAGTAATGCCTCCTTGTTATAACAATTCAAAGAATGCAGAGGTGTATAAAATAAAAATGATGATGATAGTAATAATAAAAGAATCATCTCTCTAGTTCTAATCCTCTGAATTAATGAACAGCATCAGTTTTGTGTGAACCCTTCCATATAGTTCCTATTCATTCATAGATATATTTATATAGGGTTTGTTGTTGTTAGTTGCTGTTGTGTTGGCTCCCACTCATGGCAACTCCATGTACAAGAGAACGAAACATTGCCCTGCACCATCTTTATAATCATTGGTATGCCTGAGTCCATTTTTGCAGCCACTGTGCCTTTTGAGTGCCTTCCAACCTAGGGTGCTTTTCTTCCAGCATTGTATCAGACAACATTCTGTTGTGATCCATAGGGTTTTCATTGGCTAATTTTCAGAAGTAGATTGCCAGGCCTTTCTTCCTAGTCTGTCTTAGTCTTGAAGCTCCATTGAAACCTGTCCACCATGGGTGACCCTACTGGTGTTTGAAATACCAGTGGCATAGCTTCCACCATCTCAGCAATACACAAGGTACCACATTATGACAAACTGACAGGTGATGGATATAGGGGTTCATTTTTTTTTAATGAGGTCATAATATATCTGTATTTTAAGTGACCAACTTGCTTTTGTCACTTAAGATATCAAGGACCTCTTTCAAGCTTCTAAGTGCCGTACTGAACGTTAGAACCTCAGACCCTCATATATAGATGGTCCACAGTTTATTCAAATCTTCCCCTGTTGATGGGCATCTAGGTTCTTCCTTTTTCACTATGATTTCAAGCAGTTAACGCCAGGTAACATTTTTATGAGCATCCACTTTGCAGTACTAGTGCTAATATTTCTAGAGTGGACTCCTAGAAGTAAAATTGATTTATGTGCATGTAAAATTTAAATCAGTATGCCAGCTTACTTTCTCAGAAGGTCAGAGCATTTGTAATCCCTGGCAGCCTATGAGAGTGCACATGTCCTGAGGAATTTCTGGGCTGCCTTTCAGCTTTAATGATTTGGCATCTCTGGGAGTCAGGCCCAAGAATCTATATTTTTTACAGTACCCCAAGTGATTCTGATGATCACCCAATTTGAGGTGCTCTAGCAATGGCTAAGTGTTCAGCTGGTAACTGAAAGGTTGGCAGTTCAAACCTACCCAGCAGCTCCATGGGAGAAAGACCTGGCGATCTGCTCCCATAAAGATTACAGCCTAGAAACCCCTATGGGGAAGTTCTTCTCTGTCACATGGGGTCAGTATGAGTTGAAATCTGCTTGATGGCACCTAACAACAGTGTGGTGCAAATGGTTAATGCACTCGACTGCTAACTGAAAGGTTGGAGGTTCAAGTCCACCCAGAAGCACCTGGGAAGAAAACCCTGGTGATCTGTTTCCGAAAAATCAGCCACTGAAAACCCTGAGGAGCACAGTTCTACTCTGACACAGATACGGTTGCCATGAGTTGGAGTCAACTTGACGGCAACTGGTATGGTAGTCTAAGGGCAAACTGGATGAAACAACAAATAGGTTAAAAATGATTATTTTTCATCCAGTACCTTTACAACCCTTTCACAACCTGTTTGGCCACATTTTCACCCTTCTTGGTTGCATTCTTATATTAGGGTAGATTGACCCACATTTTCAAAGGAAAATGTTTGTTCGAAAAAAAGTTTATGGTCAAATAGTTTGGGAAACTTAGGGTTAAATAGCTTTCTGTATTCTGCAAGACTTCTCAGAACCTTGGGTTATTTTTGAAAGGTCAGTGGTTCAAACCCATCAGCAGCTTTATGGGAGAAAAGACCTGGTGATCTGCTCCCATGAAGATTACAGCCTTGGAAGCCCTATGGGGCAGTTCTACTCTGTCATATAGGGTCACTATGAGTTGGAATTGACTTGATGGCACCCAACAACAACAACAGGCACCATAGAAAGGAGCCCTGGTGGTGCAAATGATTAAGCTCTCAGTTGCTAACCGAAAGGCTGGCGGTTTGAACCCACCCAGCAGCTGTGTGGGAGAAAGACCTGGCAATCTGGTTCCATAAAAATTACAGCCTAGAAAACACTATGGGGCAGTTCTACTCTGTTGAATGGGGTCACTGTGAGTCCGAATCAACTCAGTGGCAAATAACAAGAACAATAGGCACCATAAAGGTTTATTTCTCACTCACTTAAGTCTTGTGTGGGTGTTTCTTGTGGGTGGGCATCTCTCCTCCCTACAGCAATTCAGGAACCCAGGCTCCTTCTGCTTGTGTTACCACCATCCTTCAGGGCCTCATGGTCGTCTGCCTGCAGCCAGCAGAAGGGGAAAGAGAGAGTATGGGAAGAGCACACCTGTGTCCTAAAAGCCCCGGCCTGGAAATGGCACCCATCACTCCCTCTCACACCTCATTGGCCAGCACATGACCATACCAAACTGCAAGGCGGGCTGGGAAATGGAGTCTAGTTGTGGCCTCAGAGAAGAGAACATGGATTTTTGATGAAGAGCTTGAGGCCTCTGCCACAAATATCTCTCTGATTTTCAAACAGCTTTGACAAGGCTGTCAGCATGATACAAATCAAAATTCCCAACAGGGACAAAGGAATGGCCTACTTTGCCATTGTGGTTGGGTATACCTAAGCCTAGCATTAAGATTTGAAATATGATTTTAATAGTGGAATGTGGGGTAAAGAGGTGAGAGGAAACGGGTCCACAGTTCCCTTCAGAGTAGCCTTCCGGCAGGTGTGAACCCTACTTTCCACACACACCTACAGTGAGGACGTGCTGGTCCCTCAGCGTGACCACTTGTCAACTGCACAGCCTTTGCCTGAAAATAAATTTAAGAGAAGAAAGCGGACAAAATATACTCTGCAATACACTAAGAGTCATCCTAGTGTGTGCACAAAAGTTATTAGTGTGTGAAGTAGCAGCTGGAAATGTTCATTTTGGATCACTTTGACTTAGAACAATTTTTCTTAGACCGAGTCAACATTAGTAACTCTAGGATAATTTTGCCAAATAAGTAGAATATGCAAAATTGGCTGAAAAGTAATTAGAAATATTAATTTATATATTTTGAAAAACCACACCCGTTGCCATCTAGTCGTTTCCATTTCATGGTGAAACCCCCATTTTTTGGAGAAGAACTGTGCTCCGAAGGGTTTTCAATGACTGAGTTTTGGAAGTGGACCACCAAGCCTTTCTTCCGAGGGGCCTCTGGGTGGACTCGAACCACCAACCTATGTGTTCACAGCCGAGCTCGTTAAGCATTTGCACCATCCAAGGACTCCTCATATGTATTAGCCCTTTTTTTTTTAATAGAAAAATGGGTTCATACTAGATATTCTGCATCTTGCTTTTTTCGCTTAACGATGCACGTTGAACATCTTTGTGTGTAGATTCTTATAGATATACCTCCTGTGGGTTTTTTTTTTTTTTTAAACTTCTGGGTGGTATTCCAATATAGAGGTGCAGCATTTCCCCACTGGTGGGCAGTTGGGGAGTTGCCAGGTGTTTGCTCTTTCACATGATGCCGTGATGGGTATCCAGGTACATATGTCTTTGCTCATTCACGCCAGGCCGTCGAAAGGCTAGTCCAAGAAGTGGGACTGCTGGGTCACGAAGTGCAATCCCCCCACATTTTCTGTTGACCAAACCCTTTGCCTCCCCCAACCTGCCACAGAGCTACGAGGAGCAGGAGCTGCTGCGCCTCATCTACTACGGGGGCATCCAGCCAGAGATCCGCAAGGCCGTGTGGCCCTTCCTTCTGGGTCACTACCAGTTTGGGATGTCGGCGGCGGAGAGGAAGGAGGTTGGTTGGCCCTAATGGGCAGTGGGGTCCTTGGCAATAAGCAGAGCTGGGCACTGTGGGGCTGGAGAAGCCTGGGCCCCTGTTGGACAAAAGTGGGGCAAGGAGATGTGGGAGGCCGGAAACTTGAGGACAGGATTGTCCACTGGAAATATAACCCAAGCTACATCTGTGATTTTTTTTAATTAAACTTTATTTTGAAAAAAAGCAAAGAAAGAAGCATCCTTGCCCCCTTTGGAGTATCCCCAGGCCCTAGCCCGTGCCAGCACACAGGAGATGCTCAGTTAATGCCTATTGGACGTTAACTGCGTGAATATTCGATGGGCGTTGCCAGGGCTTGGGTAACCCCCTTTTCCTAGTAGGGCTGGTTCTCCCTAGGGACCCCCAACCCCCGGAAACCTTGCATCTGCCCTGCAGGTGGATGAGCAGGTCCATGCCTGCTACACACAGACCATGGCTGAGTGGCTGGGCTGCGAGGCCATCGTGCGGCAGAGAGAGCGCGAGTCCCACGCGGCTGCCCTGGCCAAATGCTCGTCGGGGGCCAGCCTGGACAGCCACCTGCACCGGATGATGCACCGGGATTCCACCATTAGCAACGAGGTGATGGGCTCTCTCTTGAAGAGCAAGGAGGGCGGTGAAGGCCAGAATCTGCTTCATCGGGCCAGTGTAGGGGTGGTGAGAGGTGGGTGGCTGGGGCATTGGGACAGTCTTACTGCTAGCTGTTTTTGGGAAGGGGAATGACTTTGGAGTCACACAGACCTAGGTTTAAACTCCAGCTCTGCCATTTCCTAGCTCTGGATCCTCAGTCAAGCACCATTACTTTGAGGCCTCAGTTTCTTTATCTACAAAATGGGAATAATCATCTATCTAGGGGAGGTTCGTATGCAGATCAAATGAAATAGTGTGTATAAAGCACCTAGCACAGTGCCTGGCTTCCATTTATTCAGCAAATGCTCTGAGTACCTATTATGTGCCAGGTACTGTGCTTGGTGTCAGGGATGCTCCAGGGACCAAAGCAGACATGCCTGTCCTCAGAGAGCCTCCAGTTTTCCCAAGGAGAAGTTCAGGAAAAAAGTCAGTTCTCTTCACTAGTGACGTGTCAGTCATCAGTTGCCGCAGTCATACTGCATAACAAACAACCACCGAAATTCAGTGACTTGCAACAATAAACATTTGATTTTGCTCATGAGTCTGCGGGTCAGCTGGGCAGTTCTGCCCTGAGGTGGGCTAGGTGGGGCTCACTCTTGCACCTCCCCTGCTGTCAGCAGATCAACTAAATGGCTTGTTGATCTTGGTTGGGCTGTCTCAGGGGGCTGGATGACTTGGATCTGCTCCGCGTGTCTCAACCTCCAGTGGGTTAACCTGGACATGTTTTCATGGTGAAAGCAGGTGATAAAGAGAGAAAACAGAAACGCACAAGCATTTTTCAAGCCACTGCTTGCATCAGGTTTGTTAACATCCCTTTGGCCGAAGCAACTCCCATTGTCAAGCCCAGCAACACAAGGACAGGGACTATAAAGTTATAGGGCTATGGAACTATTGTGGCTGAATAAACCCCTGAAACTATTGCCCTGAGAGAATCTTTAAACCTTAAACCAAAAATATCCCCTGAAATCTTCTTTAAACCAAATAATAGTTTAGTTTAACTAGTAAAGAATGTCTGCCTTGAACATTGTGTTCTTTTAAGATATAACTATATAGGATCAAATTGACAACAGCAACTCAAGAGGTTAGATAGGAAGCTTCGGGGGCAGTGCGTTTAGGTTAATAGGGGAGGAAAAATTCAGAAAAGGAGGATGAAGAATGGTCGCACAACTTGAATGTAGTCAGTATCAGTGAATTGTACATGTAGACATTGTTGAATACAACAACAAAAATAAAATTATTTAAAAAAAAGTTATAGGGCAAAAGGAATGTATGGGATAGGGGAGGGTAAAGAATTGGGCTATTAATGCAGCCAGTTACTCTTAGTTGAACTGAAATATTAGCCGCAAGAGTCAAATACAGAGCAGTTAAAGGTGGGGTGCTTTAGGTACAGGGGTGGCAGGTAGGGGCCCAGTGGCCAACCTGGCCTCCATGGGGGCTCCAGGGAGCAGGGAGTGAATCCTACCCTTTCATTTGACAGATAGGAAGCTGAGGCTCAGAGAGGGGACTTGCCCAAGGTAGGGGATACAGATACAACCAGACTTCCTGACTTGCAGCCTAGTCGTCTTTCCTGGCAAAGGTGGATTACCCAGTAAGCAAGGTAAGCACAGGCTTACTTGTGCTTCCTTACTAATCTGTAGTGCACAGTTTCACGTGGGTTTCACGTGCTTACCTTGGTTACTGAGTCATCCGTCCCTGTCAGCAATTGTAAATGTGAAAAGAGGCTTTGATTCTGTAGGAAGGTGCTGTGGGGTGGGAGACAGACAGATGACAGCCATACCTAGAAGCAGAATCTTTGATGTGGTGAGAAAATGTGGAATGGTTCACTACAGATGATCTGGTAAGCAAGGTAAGCACCTGGCCTATTGGATAATCCGCCCCTGCCTCCTAGGCTAAGAGCCACACCCTGAGCCAGGATATGGCTGCACCGCTCACTCCCTGCTCGCTTTTCTCTCAGTCCTCACAGAGCTGCAGTTCCGGACGCCAGAACATCCGCCTGCAGAGTGACTCCAGCAGCAGCACACAGGTGAGCCCCCGCCCGTCCCTTCAGCCTGGGGTCATGGGACTGCATGTCCATCATCTACGCGTGGAGTTTTGGTTTATTTGCCTTTAACTTTTTCTCCTAGCCTTTACAAATGGAGTTTTTAGTTACACAAGTAATTGTGAGTCTGTTATCCCTGTAAAAAAATAAGGCATTGCAGAGAAAGCTAAAGTCGTGTTTGACCATCCAACAACAATCCCCAACTTAGGAGCCCCAGTGGTGCAATGGTTAAGCGCTCAGCTGCTAACCAAAAGGTTGGCGGTTCCAACCCACCAGTGGTTTCTCGGGAGAAAAGAACTGGCGATCTGCTCCCGTAAAGATTACAGCCTCGGAAACCCTATGGGGCAGTTCTGCTCTGTCATATAGTGTTGCTATGAGTCAGAATTGACTCGAGGGCAACAACAATCTCCAACTAGGAGTCCCTGGGTGGCACAAATGATTAAGCGTTAGACTGTTGGCCAAAGGTTGGTGGTTCAGACCCACCCAGAGTCACCTTCAGACAGAAGACCTGGTGATTTACTTCTGAAAAATCAGTCATTGAAACCCCTATGGAACACAGTTCTACTCTGGCACACATGGGGTCGCCATGAGTTGGAATCTGCTCAGTGGCCACTGGTTTAATCCCCAAACGCCTTCCTTAGAAACAATACCTATCCTCAGTTTGCTGTGTATCCTTCCATACCAGTCTTGTAGCCCTTTGCGTATGCATGTCACCTTTTATGCAAAAAGCAAAAATATGAATATATGTATATATTTGTGTCTATTTTCAAAAAAAAGGAAGGATAAACCAGAAACTAATCAAAATGGTTCCCTATGGAAGAAGCGGCAGGGTATAAACTACAGTTTCCAGAATATTCCTTTGTTTTCTGGTTTTGACTTTGGCTTTAGGTACATTTCTTCCATAATTTAAAGCCATTAAAAAGAAATTTAAAAAAAACAGAAACACATGAAATTAACAGTAAATCAAATTGGTAGCAACCACACTGAGAAAAATATTTCAGATGACTTTGAAATATGGTCTTTTACTATGTATCCTTGGTAGGATATGGCCTGAGGACAAAAAGACCCACAAATAGATCTTAAAAATGTATCTTGGAGATTTTTTCATAGTATTTCATATATATCTAACTACTTTTGAAAAATGCTCCATAATATTCAACATGTATGAGTATAATATGCTTACCTTATATTGTTAACTAATTTTTACTTGAAAAAAAATTATATGCACATGATAAAAACTTGTATGATGAAAAGTTGTTCTCTTTGTGTTACAATTCCCTAGTACTATCTGCACAGAGTCAGCTGCATGCTCTCTTGTTTCTTTCTGGATTATTCTGTGTGTATACAAGCATATAACTTACATTTTCTTTTTCACAAATGGGAGCATGTATTACATCTTGTTGTGCCTCAGCTTTTTTACTAACTATATAGTATTCCACTGCTTGCATGTTCCCTATTTAAACCAATCCCTACTGATGGATAGGTCTCCCTGGGTAGTGCAAATGGCTAGCGTGCTCAGCTGCTAACCAAAAGGTTGGAAGTTCGCGTCCACCCAGAGGCACCTCAGAAGAAAGTCCTGGTGATCTACTTCTGAAAAATCAGCCACTGAAAACCCTATGGAGCACAGTTCTACACTGACACACATGGGGTCGCCATGCGTCAGAATCAACTTGGTGGCAACTTGTGTTTTTTTTTGATGGATATTTAGGACATCCTAGTTCATTTCTCTCTGTGCACCTTGTCCTCAGGTGTTTGAGTCCGTGGATGAGGTGGAGCAGGTGGAGGCAGAAGGCAGGTTGGAGGAGAAGCATCCCAAGATCCCCAATGGGAACCTGGTCAATGGCACGTGCTCCCCAGACTCCGGCCACCCTTCCTCCCACAACTTCTCTTCAGGCCTCTCAGAGCACTCAGAGCCCAGCCTGAGCACAGAAGACAGTGTCATGGATGCCCAGCGGAACGTGCCCCCAGTGCTGCAGGCCAGAGACAGCAGCGTGGACGATGGACAGAGCAGCGAGGCCACCACTTCCCGGGATGAGGCCCCCCGGGAGGAGTTGGCTGTGCAGGACAGCCTGGAGAGCGACTTCCTTGCCAATGAAAGCATGGACGAGTTCATGTCCATCACCGGCAGCATGGACGTGGCCCTGCCCGACAAGGAGGGCATGGGGATGGAGGGCTGGGGGGGCAGCGAGGCCGAGAAGCGCAGCCAGGCAGACAGTGAGGACAACCTCTCAGAGGAGCCCGAGATGGAAAGTCTCTTCCCCGCTCTGGCTTCTCTGGCTGTGACCACTTCTGCCAACAACGAGGCGTCCCCAGTGTCTTCCAGCGGTGTCACCTACTCCGTAAGTCGCCAGGGGTCTCCTCCACTCAGTTTTCTTACCAGCAGCCTTGGAAGGGTGGGGAAGTACCACAAAACTCAGTTATACAGAGTCCCTAGGTGATGCAAACAGTTAAGCACTCAACTATTAGCCAGTAGGTTGGCAGTTTGAACCCACCCAAAGGATCTAAGAAGACAGGCCTGGTGATCTGCTTCGAAAAGGTCACAGCCTTGTAAACCCTATTGAACACAGTCCTACTCTGTCACCTGTCGTTGCTATGAGTTGGGATTTTATTTTATAAAGGAAATAAATAAAAAGAATGTTCATCATACAAAGTAAACAAGGCTTTCCTAGAAGGAAAAAAAAAATCCAAACACTCGTCTGGTCCAGGTGGAGGATGTTCTTTCAAGCGACGAGGGGTAGGAGGAGGTGAGAGGATCTCTAGGGGGCAGCCTTTATGAGAGTCAGGGTATCGTTGTTCTTTTCTTCCCCTCCTGGGGACCTGCAGCCGGAGCTGCTGGACCTGTACACGGTGAACCTGCACCGCATCGAGAAGGATGTGCAGAGATGCGACCGCAACTACTGGTACTTCACGCCTGCCAACCTGGAGAAGCTGCGCAACATCATGTGCAGGTGCCCGGAGGGGTTGTTGGGGGAAGAGTGGAGGTGGCGGGGGCGGGGTGGCTACAGGCAACCCACTGGAACTGCAGCCTCTGCAGCTGGCACCATACCCACCTGGCATCTCATCTCAGTCCACACTGATAATAAAATAACAATAGTAGTTAATGATAGTAATAGCATTTATTAAGCACTTACTGTATACCAGGCACTGTCCTGAGCTCTTTACTGTCATTATCTTATTGAGTCCTCCAACAACCCTGTGAGGTAAGTATCATCCTCTTTTACAGTCAGGAGTTCCTGGGTGGTGCAAATGGTTAAGCTCTCAGCTACTAACAGGTTGGCAGTTCAAATCTACCCACAGCTGCCTCAGAAGAAAGTCCTGGTGATCTACTTCTGAAAAATCAGCCATTGAAAACCCTATGGAGTACAGTTCTACTCTGACACACATGGGCTCGCCATGAGTCAGAATCCATTTAACAACTGGTTTGTTTTTTATAGGTGAGGAAATGGAGGCTCAGAGAAGTAGCGTATTGCTCAGAGTCTCTCTTCTGGGCAATGGCTGAGCAGGGATTTGAACTCATGTCTCTCTAGCTCCAGAATCTGTGTCCTTTCTTTTTTTTTTTTCTTTTCTTTAAGCCAAGATCTGGGGCTACTTATTACTTTTCATTTAAAAATTATCATTGGCATTTTGTAATATATGAAACTAACCTATACTTGTTTGAAAACCTAAATCAATCAAGGAACTCAGAAGTCCATAGGGTATGAAAGAGAAATTTCTCCTTCTATCTCTACCCATCAATGAGACTCACCCAGAAGAAGTAACTAGCAATTTAGTCTGTATCCTCCAAAGTCGTATATATGACGTGGTATATATATGGTATATAATATAATATCTAATATAGTGTACATTATATAATATATATCACATAATATGATGTACAGGTAGTCCCTGACTTATGACAGGGTTCCGTTCTGATGACCTTTTGATTAGCAGCCAAGCTCTTAACTCTTGCCATCAGGGTGGGCCAAGTATACAGTAAATGCTCAGTAAATATTAGCTGTTATTACTCAGGGGCAACTGGGAATTCCAGAAAGGGAATGGCTAAGACAAAGGCTCAGAGGCACAAATGTGTGATTTATTTGTGCAGAGGTAAATATCTCAATGTGCCTGGAGATGGAGAGGTGCTGGGAAATGATGGGTGAGGCAGTCAAGACAAATTTGGAGGAGACTGTGAATGGCCTTGTACCCCCAATAAATGAGTTTGGACATCATCCTGCCAGACAGCAGGGAGCCAGTGAAGGTTTTAGAGCATGTAGGTGGCCTCCTCAAGCGGGACTTTAGGAAGGTCCTCCTCGTGACTACATATAGAATGTTTGATGAGAGTGAGATTGGTGATGGGGATGCAGGCAGGAGGCTGAGGGAGTGGTCCACCTGAGCGATGAGGGACCCAAACCAGGGCAGAGGGGAAAGAGGATTGGGCTGGATGGGAAAGATGTGGGTGGCATCACTGGGCCCCTTGTGTCTCTCTTGTAGCTACATCTGGCAGCACATTGAGATCGGCTATGTCCAGGGCATGTGTGACCTCCTGGCCCCACTCCTGGTCATCCTGGATGATGGTAAGTGTGTCCTCACTGTCCCAGGCTTGGGAGGACAGTTTCCTTCCAACTGCAGGTGTGTCACTTTGTGACTCATGGAATGGGTCAGGACTGGAGCTCAGAAGACCTGTATGGTGAGCACATCAAGATTCTGGTGAAATAAAAAGCCTTCTTATTCCATTTTTCCCAACACATGTTTCCAAGTGCCCAGCACTTAGCCAGGCCTTTGCCAGCCACAGAGAGTATAAAGATAAATGAGAAGAAAGAAAATCCTAGGCCCAGATGGCTTCACTGGTTAATTCTACCAAATGTTTAAAGACTTAACACCAATTCTTTACAAACTCTTTCAAAAAATAGAAGAGGAGGGAAAACTTCCCAACCCATTCTATGAGGCCAGTATTGCCCTGACACCAAAATTAGACACAGACATCAAAAGAAAAAAAGCTACAGACCAATTTCCTTTATGAATATAGATGCAAAAATCCTCAACAAAACACTGGAAAATTGAGTCCAACAACATAAAAAAGGATTCTACAGCATGACCATATATATAACAACATACAAAAGTATTAATCCCAAGAATGTAAGATTGGTTTAACATTCAAAAATCAGTCAGTACTGGTACAACGACAGATACATTGACCAATGGAACAGAATTGAGAACCCAGATGTAAATCCATCCACCTACGGTCACCTGATCTTCAACAAG